TTGAGACCTTAATGACGTCGTATCATAATATTGGTACTAAATGCAATTTAATTAATAAGAATTCGCTTACTTATAACATAAACGTTCGGGTCATCTATCCAAAGAAAGGATGCAAAGTTAGTAAAGATTGAAATTCTTCCAAATTTGGATTTTACTGATCTTGGAGTGTGTATTGATTCTATTAAAGGAAAAAAAACACACTAAGAAAGGAGCCCCGAGAAGCACATAGCTTCTTGAGATTATACACACCGATACATATGGACCTTTTGACGCTTCATCTTTTGATGGAGAGAAATATTTTATCATCTTTATTGATGATTTTTTATATTATGATTATGTTTATCTATGGCATGATAAATCTCAATCAATTAATGCATTAGAGGTGTATATTAAAGAAGTTGAGAGGTAATTAGATAAGATAGTAAAAATTATAAAGTTAGATAGAAGTGGTGAATATTATGAAAGGTATGGCGCATCGGGACAATGTCCAAGTCCATTTGCCAAATTTCTTGAAAGACATGACATTTATACTCATTACACAATGCTAGGTGCTCCACATCAAAATGGTTTAGTAGAAAGGTGAAATCATACTTAAATGGAAATGGTTAGGAGTATGATGAGTTAGTTATCTTTACCATTATCTTTGTGGATGTATGCATTAAGGATCGTAATGTATTTCCTGAATAGGGTTTCTAGTAAAGTAGTTCTAAACACTCCTTTTAAGCTTTGGATAGGAAGAAAACCTAATTTAAGGCACTTGCATGTTTGGAGTTATCCAAGCATAAGTAAAAAATTATAATCCACATGAAAAGAAATTGGACTTTAGAATAATCATTGGTTATTTCATTGGATATCCAGAAAAGTTCAAAGGGTATAGATTTTATTATCCTAATCATGGTATAAGAATTATCGAATTTGGAAATACCGAGTTCATTGAAAATGATGACATTAGTGGGAATAAGAGAATGCGTGATGTTAGCATTCAAGTTAGGGTGGAAATTCTTATTCCTAAAGCATCTCCAATTGTTATTCCCGAAATTATAGTTCAATCCAACAATGGTCAAGAATAACAAATAAATGATCAAACTCTCTAAAATGAAATCATTAACAATCAATCAGTAATAGTAAAATCACAAGTAATAGCATTAAGAAGGTCTCAAAGAGAAAAGAGATTTACAATTTCCAATGACTATGTGGTTTATCTACAAGAGTCGAAATTGCCTTTGGAATTGATAATGATCTAGTTTCATTTGTAAAAGCCATGGAATGTGATGATTCAACTAAATGGATAAGTGTCATGGAAGAAAAGTTAAAATCTATGGATCAAAATTAAGTTTAGGATCTCGTTAAATTGTCTAAAAGATGTAAAAAGATTAGATGTAAATGGGTTTTTAAGAAAAAATACGACTCAAATGGCAATGTTGAATGATATGAAGCTAGAATTGTTGTCAAAGATTTTACTCAAAAGGATGACATTGATTATAAAGAGACTCTTTCAATAGTCTTAAAAAAAAAAAAAAAAGATTCCCTTAGAATAATTATGGCTTTTGTGGCTCTTTATGATTTGGAGTTACACCAAATGGATGTTAAAACCTGTCTTTCTTAATGGAAATTTGGAAGAAGAACATATAAACCAACCGAGAGGGCTTTTCAATTAAAAAAAGGAAAACATGATGTGTAAATTAAAGAAATCAATATATGGACTTAAACAAGCTTTCGGACATTGGTATTTTAAGTTTAATGATATTATCACCTCTTTTGAATTTCAAGAAAACACCACCGATCGGTGTATATATACGAAGATCGATGGGAGCAAGTTTATTTTTTTTGGTTTTGTATATTGATGGCATTTTGCTTGCTGTTTATGACTTTGGTTTGTTACATGAAAGCAAGAAGTATCTCTATAGGAATTTTGAAATGAAAGATATGGGAGAAGCAACCTATGCAACGTCTAAAAAATAAATTAGAATGAGAGAAAATGAAAAATATTCCTTTTGCATCTCTTGTTGGAAGTTTAATGTATGCCTAGACTTGTACAAGGCCGGACATCTTTATTGTTGTCGGAATGTTGGGCGGATATCAAAGTAATCTTGGTATAGATCACTAGAAAGCTGCAAAGAAAGTTCTTAGATACTTGCAAGACATGAAAGATCACACACTCACTTATAAAAGATCCGATTGTCTTGAGATGATTAGATATTCAAATTCAGATTTTACTTGGATGTATTGATTCAAGAAAAATCCATATTTTGTTACTTATTCCTATTACTTGGAGGAGCAATTTCATAAATGAGTGCAAAGTAGTCCGTCATTGCTACATCCATTATGAAACCGAGTTTGTGGCATGCTTTGAGGCCACCATTCATGGATTATGGTTGCAAAACTTTATTTCGGGACTTAGGGTTATCGATAGTATTGTTAGGCCGCTGAAAATTTATTGTGATAACTTCATAGTAGTTTTCTTCTTTAAAAACGACAAGTATTATAAGGGTGCTAAACATATGGAAATTAAATTTCTTTTTTTCAAAAAGAAGTTCAAAAACAACGAGTGTCAATTGAGCATATTGACACCGATCTTATGATTGTAGATCCTTTGACTAAAGGATTGATGCCCGTAATATTTAATGAGCATGTTGAAAGGATAGACATTATTAGACATCATTAGTGATATTGTATTAAGTTTTTATTATGTTTCGTATTTGATACCGTGAGCTCACTTATATATTTCGATATTTACTCGTTTTCTATTTTGTATATATAATTGCTTTAGAATAATGTTAACATGAGTAGTCTTACAATAAAGATATTAAAGTTGGACTATTATTATCCTCATTAAATATCATTTTAAGTTGAAATTTAGTGTTGTGGTACATGGAAGAGACTATGTCGAGGAAATGACGTATAATCGTCTTGACTCGTATTCAATTTAATAATGATATAACGTTATAATGATGATCATCAATTTTACACATTATGTTAAATCATAAAGTAAATATCACATGTGCCATGTGAGAAATGTAAGATTAATTATGACCCATATGATAAATGTATCTAGAATGATATATGATATATGTATCTAAAATATATAATTGAATATGAATCATATTATACATTATATCTAGAGTGTATCTAATTAATTAAGATACATATATTAATTTGACATACGTATATATGTAATTATAAGTTTTTTCTCATAATAAGATAGTTTTAAATCTTATTTCTTGTAATATGGTAGTTTTAAACTTATATTCTATAATAAGGTACGTTGTGCCAAATAGGAATTATTTTATTTTAATAGATTGACATGTCAGCGTTAATTTAGTTTTGCTAAAAAATTACGTTATTATCCTAAATTACTTTTCCAAATCCAAGGTCCGTTTTAATAGACAATAGCGTACGTTATACAGCCGAGGCAATAAGTAAGCCAATAACACAAAATCAAATAGGTTATAGGAAAGCCATTCAGATGGATTGCGTAATTCATTAGAGACTAATTGCCCTCTGCCTATATATCATAGCCACTGAAATGGACTAATTGTTTGGAAACAAGTTAAAATCAGGCTCTGCAAGTTGTATAGAAAGACTAGTTCCTTTGAGAAAAAGCTAATTGATACAGCCGGAGATTTCAAGTTGTTTTGAGAGAGACAAGGCCTTCCAAACAAAACTGCTTATATCTGTACTTGAAAAATATAATATTGTTGCCTAGCTAATAACAAATGAAATTGTTTTTCTTTCGTTTCAGTTTTGGTTTCAGTCTTTTAGAGGAAGACTTCAACATCCAAGAGCTGGCTAAGTCTTTGCTCGCATTTTTGGCCTTCATTTAAATAATGAACAAATTGTCCAGTCTGCGCTACGCTATTTATGTCACTCCAAATATGAGTTATTTGTGTTTGATGTGTTTGAGAAGAATGTAACGGAAGAAGCTTGAATTTATAGAGTTAGCAATTCAATGGGATGCATGCATGATGCTGATAACAACTTTTGAAGGAGTTGTTAGAGACATCTAAAACAGATGGCTTGACTAGTCATCAAATCAAATACAAATTAATCTTCTCCAAACCTAACTGGATCTTGTAGTTTCAAGTGGCTCTTACAGTATGATCTGATCTAGTTACTTGATGTCGAAAACCACATCCTGCTTTAAGGTAATTAAAGGGAGTTTGTATATTTTCATTGATTGTGTGTTGACCAAGTTGCAATGTCAAAGATTTGTACGAACTCAAAAGTCAGAACTTCTTATCTGCTACCATATATCATATCCTAATCAGTTTACAGGTTTCTGTAGCTTTTTAAGCAAACAACTTGGCCTTTAATTAATTTTTAGTTTGCAGTTTAAGTCAACGTCACATGGCTAGGGCTTGTTCGATAAAGAATTTATTTGCAATAGCTGTCTATGATTTTGTGAGCAACAGCTAATCAAAACCTGATAGCCTTATTGTACATGTGAACATTAGTCTCTTCTCTTGGCAGAAATCTGATTTACTTTTTCTGTTCAGAGGATATAAGACCAGATCGAGCAATAATCTTTGCTATATTTTAGTTGCCTTTCAATGTCCAAGTAGGAAAATTCATGTAAAGAAACTACATAAAAGACTTCAAAATTTTACCTTCCACTCCAAAATGTGACAAATAACCAAGGAATTACATCTCAATAATTTATAGCCACCTTAAAAAAAAAAAAAAAAAATTGAACCATCAAGTTTACAAGTGCTTCAAGCCACGGCCACCTCAACCAAAACTCTTCTCCAAAATGCTCTGCCCTCAATTTCAAAGCAATCCTGCGTATACTTCAGTCTATTTCCAACAAAGGATAATCAATATCCAATCTCAAATTGTGATTGATCATTTCTAGCAGCATTTAAATTTTAGTGGAAGCATGCTGAGTTGCATGTTCCGCGTCAAATTCATGAACAATACCATCTACCTCAATCCAACTGCTTTCAGGTTTTTCTCTACCCTTCTGAGTACAAATCCATCAGAGCATTGCTCACAGTAAAATTCTAATCAAGATTAACTTTGCTGATATAACCATGAATAGCTTGACCATAATCAAGAGCCCCAAGGTCGGCACAACCTGAGAGAACAGCTACTACCATAATAACCGTAGACTGGTTTTCCCCTTCAGCTTTCATTTGCTTAACACTTCAAGACCCCAAATTAGCATTTCACCTCGAACATAACCAGTTATCGTTGCAGTCCGCGCAACATCGTTTCTGTCAGGCATTTCATCAAACACACGTCTAGCTGACTCTAACTTATTGCATTACATAGATTTGGAAAAGACCTCTTGCTATCTCAGCATTCTCAACTCTACACTCAGTTTGCACTCCTAACGCCCACGGAACTCCATCTCGACCTTTCACCTTTCGTATCACAAACCGTTTATGTGGATTTCCCATTTCTTTCAAGCACTTCACATTGGAAAAGACCAATAATTCCTATTCCCATGGGTTTAACAGATTAAGGTCACTTGAAGAGGAAGACTCAAATCCCTGAAGAAGAAGAACAACAACAAGTACCAGAAGGAGCTGAACAAGGGACGCTGTCTGTCCCTGTTTCTCCCTCTGACACCCTCACCGTGTATTTCCAGGTACTCTTGCTTCTCTTTCTGTCATTTTGGTGTTTTTTTTAATGCTTTCATTGTTTGATTTATTTATGTAAAATAAATGCTGGAACCCATTAGAAATATTCATTCTTACCTGCAAGTTCATACATATCTTATGAATGTTTTGTTCTCTTCTGCAAATTCAATCAAACAATAGTGTGGTTGTGTTTTTTTTTTTTTTCTATTTAAGGTTGTTCTTAGGTAGAGTAAAGTATAAAACAATTCATGTAATGTAATGGAGACAAGAGATATCAAAACAGAGAGAGAGACAGAGAGGTGTTTTTCAGCAAAAAATGCAGCTGGGGTCCTTCTTGCAATAGCTATTGAAGGCCCAGAAAGCATAAGCCATGTGTTAATACAGAGAGAAAATAATAGAAAGAGAAAGTAATTTAGGATGATAATGTAATTTTCTAATAAAAATAAATTAAAGCTGACATGTCAATCTATTAAAATTAAATGGCTCCTATTTAGCATAAAGTACCTTATTATGGGAAATAAGTTTAAAACTAACCTATTACAAGAAATAAGATTTAAATCTGCCTTATTATTGAAAAAAAAAAAAAACTCTGTAATTATGATACATGCATTTATTATGATACATGTATAGTTAAAGTGTAGCTAATTAAATAAGATACATATAATTAATGATAACACATGTATAATTAAAGTGTACCTAATCAATTATGATACATGTATTTCATTAATTATGATACATGTAATTAATAATAATATATGTATAAGTCTTGATGAGAGACTTAGGGTAAGAGTATAAAAGGAGGAGTTGGTCCTCTTTTTGGCTCTCAATGAAAATTACCAAACAAAAGAAAAACTAAGGATTTCAATTTTCATCATTAAGCGAGAGATTAAAAGAGAGGAACCATTCTTTACATATTATATACTTCATAGTATTGATTAAGGTCTAAATATGAATCAAGGTATGTTTTCTTTTAAATTATGTGAAAATCATGAAGTTTTAAGATTTATGAGTATAATGAATTTATGTCTTTTATTTCGTATAATTGTTGATTGTGGTGTTCTTATTGATTTGCCAAATTATATTTAAAACTTTCATCTAAAAACAAAAAAATTAGGAATGTAATAGCTGAACACACAAAGAGTATAAGAACGAGGATAAGATTTGGTGAGGATCAAAGAATGTGATCGAAGAGGAGACATGATTTTGTTAAAGTTAAAAAAATCTAACCATTCCTAAATTTTAAGTCATTTGAGATTGGATCTTTAACTATTTTTTTTATTAGTTTTGAGGATCCTTAGACTTTTAATTTGTTTGGATTTAACCCATATTTCATTTTTTATCATTTATTTTAAAAAAATAGTAATCAAAAAAATATTTTCACAATAAAAATCATTCAATGAGATTTACATGGAGCTCTTAAAAAAATTTGAGATCATTTCGAGGTTATTTTCTATTTTTTATGATTTTTTATTTTTTAATGTTCAAAAATCAAAAAAATATAATTTTTTATTGTGAAAAATTATAATTTTTTTTTTAAAAAAATGGATTGATTTTTTTTTTAAACGTGTGTATAAAATTTTAACTCAAAATACGAAGAATTCAATTTTTTAGAGAGAAATATGATAGCTAAAAATAATTAGATAACTTAAATCTTAAAAAAATTCAAAGTTTAGAGATCTTCAAAATTAATTAAAAAAAAATTAGAGATTCAATCTTAAATGACTTAAAATTCAAAAATGATTATGCCTTTTTAGCCTTTTGTTAACAGCTGGCCTTAACAACCCTCTTCATTTCTTTCCAAACATAAAATTCGGGCAAAATTTAGAGAATTGAATCAATTCTAACCAAATATTGATATTCCAAATGGGCCCTAAATGGATACATACTAAATAAAGCTTAATTCTCTTTCACGTCACACCAAATATAGCCTAAAAATGTTTTCAATGGTGATCCTTATTGTCAAATTGAAGTGTGAGTACCTCTAGCATGAACATCAATATTTTTTATATTTTGCTTTATTTAACTCAAATTAATGAAAATACATATAGCTAGTGAACAAATGATGTTGTTATCTTTTAGTTCTCTACTAGTTTCTTACCCGTGCTACATTGAGTGTCGGGCAAAATATGCGAAATAAGTTAAAAAAATCATTCTAGTTTAACTGATTCGTGCTATACTATAGGTTTGCCAAAATATATTATATCAATAGTAAAAAAAATTTCAATTTTATCATTTATTGATCAAAATTTTATATTTAACTAAGTCTTTCTCATGTTTTTCATAATTTTTATACTAAAAAAACACAATTTTATTTATCCATGAATTCGTAATTTAAAACTCATAATAATCTAAAAAGAATTTAATACAAAATTAAAAAAAAAAGCCATAATATTTTTTTTTATAAAGCCATGCCTTTAAAATAAAGTAACAATTGATGTACAAACTAGCATAAAAACAAGCAAATAAAAAAAATATTCTTGTTTAATGTTGATGAGAAAATTAGTTTTTGAAAGTCTATACATTTGATTTTGATATATTTATTCATAAAATTATCAATAATATTAGAATAAAATAATGTATTTGAATAATTAGATGGTTCTATAAAAACATAATTTTAGTTATTTAATTTGAAAGCAAATGATTTCATAATATTCATAAATAAATAAATAGCAAATTTTTTGTGTTTTGAGTTGTTGCATAGTTAATTTATAATAAAACCAACAATTTAATATATAGTTTTTACATAATAACTATCCTAAGCAGGTTTACGAGTTTGCAACATAAAATGAAAAACGTTTAAAAAAATAGTTAATTTATAAGTAATATATTGAATAAATTTGAAGGTAATAGAATAAAATAAAAACTATTACAATATTGATTTTGATAAATTTTAATTACATAAAGAAGTAGTAAATAAGACATATGAATTCTTTTTTTTTTTTTCATGAATATGTTTTTTCCTAGATCATGGCCGATCTTTTTGCATAAGTCTCTCATACGGAGCTATGGTTAAAAAATTATCAAAATCCATCTTATAAATTCTATCGTTTATTTTTTTTAAAAAAGAAAATAATAATGTTCTAAAACTTAACAAAAAAAATCATATTTGTTTGTAAAAAAAAATCTTGTAAAAAAAAATAAAAAAAAATTAGTTGGATGAGAATTTTCATAAAAATGAAAAATTAAAGAATAAGTTTTAAATAATAAGAGTAATATAATATGAATTATACGCTCATTTTAAAATATAAAAACATATCAATGATCGATTATCCATAATGTTTTCCAATGTATATATATACACACATAATCGTAAAGTTTAGAATAAACGAATAGAACTCATTTAATCTAATTTGTTTACCAAATAAGTGAAAGGAAAACTAATGGGTATTAAAAATATTAACGGCTTTTCTACTGTAACTCTAGGTATTTGTCCATCAAAGAGTTTAATTTCAACATTTAATAGTAAAAACTACCCCCAAACTATTAGGTTATGAAGATTCAAGGTTTATGCTATCAATTTAGACTATTTGAGCCCTAAACTATTAGTGTTTGGGCAAAATTTATCATTCTTCATTATTTTTGACCTTTTTGGATATTTTTTTAAATTGAAATTAATTTTATTTTGTTTAATAATAGTTAATTTTAAAGAAACTTAGATGATTTCGTTATTTATGAATTTGACTTTTGTTGTTGGATAATATCATATATATTTTTTCCTCTTCAAGTTGTTTAATAATGATCAATCATCCATAATTTTTGCCCAATAATCTATAATAATAAATATCGAAATAAATTATTGAAAAAAAAAAACAGGCCTACGCAAGCAAGATTTTAGAAAAAAATAAACAATATTTCCTAGTATACATGTAGCTGTAAAGTTTAGAAGAAAAGAATATAGCCCAATTAATCTAATTTGTTTACCAAAGAAGCAAAAGGAAAACATGTGGGTATTAAAAATATTAATGGCTTTTCTATTATAACTCTAGGTATTTGTCCACTAAAGAGTTTAGTCTAACGAGTTTAATGGTAAAAATTAGCCTCAAACTATTAGGTTATGAAAATTCAAGATTTATACTATCAATTTAGACTATTTAAGCTCTAAACTATCAGTCTCCCAAGCAAATTTATCATTCTTCATTATTTTTGACCTTTTTGGATTTTTTTAGAATTAAAATTAATTTTTTTTAATAATAGTTAATTTTAAATAAACTTAGATAATTTTGTTGTTTATGAATTTGACTTTTGTTGTTGGATAATTAATAATGTGTAATTGATCAATCTATTAAAAAAATAAATTACTATTGTTTTTAAGAATTTAAATTAATTTTAAAAAATATTTAATAATAATAAGTTTTAAGGCAGCTTAAATAACTTTTGATTCTACTTTGAATAATTATATAGATTTATTTTATTAATTAATACGACTTCAATTATGTTAGCCATTGCAAAATCCACTTTCTATTAAAAAATATTTTATTTTTGTTAAATATATCTCAAATTAATCATATATAGTTTAATATCATTTTAAACATTTTGAAATTTAAGAAACCAAATAAAAGCATACTTATGATATAAGGACCAAAAAAAAAAAGTATAACTTTATCAAAACTTACAGCAAAATTGTTGAGCATTAATTCTTTTGTCCACACAAGTAGCAAGTTACAAAAAAAAAGGACAAAAAAGGAGAATGAAAAAAAAAAAGTAAGTGAAAGGTTGTAACTGGACATCACCACTAAATGGCATAACAACAATTAAGCAATTATAAGTGGGTGTTAAATTGACAATTGGAAAAGACACAAAAATGGCTGGAAAATCAACCAAGCAAATGAAGCTACATGAAACAAAAGAGAGAATGAATGACTTAACAAGGAGAAGTGTAGCAATAAACAACTTAAGTACATGGAAAAGTGCAACACAGTGAGGCTGAGTCATCATCCACCATAAATTTATTGTAGGTGAACAGATTAGGAACAGGAAAAATCCTAATTTTTTTTTTAGTGTTTTTTGTAATACTAATTTAAAGAACTCAAAAATGAATGCAAAATGCTCTATAAAAAACGAAGTAATCTCAATGGCATCACAAATTGACAAATTGAGGATTCCTTTCCTCTCCCAACATCCAAACGCGGCCTTTTGGGAAGAAAAGGAAGTAGATACTTAGACTGCTGTTTGGACTCTTATGTCCTAGCCATATCCAGTCATCCGTCACAGAATATTCCTAACGGTGACCAAAAAAATCCTCAATTTGGAAACCTCACAGTAGTCTAACCACCTACGGTCATCCGTCACAGAATATTTCTAACGGTGACCAAACAAATCCTCAATTTGGAAACCTCACAATAGTCTTTCTTTTTAGTTTTCCATCCATTTCCCCCTCCTCCTATCACCAATTTTTCCCATACAGAGTGCAAATGTCACTACTATACCAAACAAAGCTTTACATACTTAACGGACAAAAGTCACCCAAACAACGTGAACTGTTTTTTAGCACCACTAGAGCTGTCTATCTAGTGTCTTCTCCAACTCTGTCTCGCTCTTTGTCTGAACCTATTTTTTTTCCCATTTAAAAGCGTAAGTGGAATTGCCTCTTTTCTTTTCCTAAATTTCTCTCTCTCTTCCTCTGCCTTCTCAATTGCTTGTAGAAAAACTGGGTATACGAAGAATTCCTTTCCTTTCTTCAAAGTTATCTTGCTTCAATATTGAGTTTCAAATTGTATGAAAATTTAAATTTTGAGATTCTTCCATCTAGAAAGAGAAGAAAAGGAATGAACTTTAATCATGGGTTTCATTTCTTGGCTTTCTTGAATTTATTGCTTTTGTTGTTCTACAATCTTGTTTCATTTTTTTTTTTTGTTTCTTTGCAGGGCTGTTGTTACAGTTGAATTTGGTTTTGGAGAAATGAGTGCGTTGAACTTAAGCTGGCACAGTAAATCATTAGATTCTCAAACTGTCTTGAGATGTGTTATTTATCCTACTTGTTCTCCCCATACTAATGCACTAGCTTTTAGAGGTAGTGAATCAATGGGCCATTCTTTGAAAATCCCATTTGGAAATACTTCTGCTAAAACAGGACTAAGGAATCATATCCGCCCTCCTTTGCGGGTGCGTAGTTTTTGACATTACAGGGTGTTATGTTGTTTTTCATTATATATTAGTACGTAAAATTTTTTTGTGATCTTTTGTCTATGTTGCAGGTTGTCTGCGTGGACTACCCAAGACCGGAACTTGATAACACGGTGAATTTCTTAGAAGCTGCCCTGTTATCTTCATCCTTTCGCTCTTCTCCGCGTCCAGCTAACCCATTGAAGGTTGTCATTGCTGGTGCAGGTGATGATTTTTTTTTTTTAATGAAAAAAACTTTGTGGGTTGATGATTTAGATTGATGTTGTGATATCTTTTTTTTTTAAAAAAAATGTTGAAATATGCTCCTCATGTTTAATAATTTTGAAGCTCGTAATTTCACAAATTGTGTACATGTACTCTTAAGAGATTGTGTGATACTAATTTGTGTGTGACTAAAAATTTTCCTTATTGTTTCAGGTTTGGCTGGTTTATCGACTGCAAAATATTTGGCAGATGCAGGCCACAAGCCTGTATTGCTTGAAGCAAGAGATGTACTAGGTGGAAAGGTTTTTATGCTCCTCTATTTTTACCCACTTCTCAAGCTGACACCACACTTGTGCTTGCTTATTTTTCAATTCATTTGTTGATTTTCTTAGGTTTTTTCTCCTGTAATCATTGTCATTGCATATAATTAAAAGTTTCTTGTTGTGCTTGATGATGTAAATGTTAATGATCTGAAGAAATATGTAGTGTTCTTACACTCAATATGTGGTGGTCAACTTTTACTATGCTGATTAGATTAAATTTTAGATTTGACTAATGGCTTTTTTGGAGCTTTTAATCACCGGGCAAAACTCTAGGATTTATTGTCCCTCGTTCCTGTCCACACAAGGTAATTGTGTAGATATCTCTTGTTGTGACCACCAAAATGGTTGTCTAGAAGTTTCAACTCAGGCTGATGCTTCCTGAAGCCAAGAGAAGAAAATGTACCTTGGATTAGTATACTAGGTCTAGTTGTTTGCTTTTACGATAAAAACAAATTGTTGGCAGAGGGATGATTATAGTAAGTAGTGCAGGCATAATTGCCAAGTTGGTTGGAGGGGAATGACGTTTGTAATATACTCCAAATAGTTTTCTTACTGAAAAATGGGATTGAATTTGTCTTTCTCAGTCAAAGGATCGACCATTTGGACCAGAGAAACTCTTAATCATTCTGTCTCTGGGCAGAGAGACATATGTTTCAGAGATGGATCTGATCATACCAATAATAAAAGCTAAATCTACGTCTACCATCATAAAGAGAACAACAAGCCATGCTATGGAAGGATAAATGTACTCGTTTGTATTTCCCTTGGTTGTTTCACATTAGCACTTAAACTTTTGGCACGACGTCGTAACACATTATCCCAAATCTATTGGTTTCTTGTGTTGTTGTTTTTGTATATAGACATGTTACTATCATTTATTTTTGTTGGGTCTACTTTGGTGTGCTAAGTGGTTTTATTTACAAGTCAACATGAGGGCAGTGTTGAATTAGGTCCTACTTGTTTTGTCTAAAGTTTGATTTGGCCTAATTACAATATCCGAGTCTCTTTGTATAATTGCTTAAGATTTTAAGTTGAATTCTCATGTGTCTAAATGATGTACAGTAAGTTTTAGTAATGAAGTATGTTATTTTTATCCTCACTCTTTTCTCAGGGTGAAAAGATGTGATGAACTCAGCTTCCACTTTGTTCATTACATCTATCTCTTTTGTTATTTTTTATCCACTAGTGTTTGGCCTGTTTTCTGATAGGTAGCTGCATGGAAAGATGATGAAGGAGACTGGTACGAGACAGGCTTGCATATATTCTGTAAGTTCTCATTACTAGTGAAAGGAAATCTGGAAAGGAATTTTAAGCTCGCTTTTTATGTTTTCTTACTTCACATACCTGTTCATTAGGTAAGATAGGTTTGAATTCCTTCTCGAGTTTTGCTGCAAGTTCACTTTGTAATGCTTTTTCCATTCATCATTACCCTACTTGCTCTTTATTGTTTCTCATGGAAAGTTTTAAAGGTATCACTGCTTTATGGTTTTTCTGTTCCTATTTTGGCTATTGTAATCTAGTTATTGATTTTGATGCTCCATGAAGTTTTTTCTTTCTTTTTCATCATAGGCGTTTACCTTTGGTGATTTTATGTTGCTCTTATTGAATCTTTGTTTTGTTGCTTGCAAGTTGGGGCATATCCAAATGTGCAGAACCTTTTTGGTGAACTTGGTATCAACGATAGGTTGCAGTGGAAGGAGCATTCTATGATATTTGCAATGCCAAATAAGCCAGGAGAATTCAGTCGATTTGATTTTCCTGAAGTTCTTCCTGCACCATTAAATGGTAAGCAACTTGTGTATGCAAGCAAAGAATTAAGGACAGCTTTTATAAATCTGTTATGCTTGATATTAGTCCTTCAAGTAACGGGGTTACTGTATTAGTAAGAGACGGTAGCCGGACTAAGTATGTATTGTCAATTCTTCAATCAGTAAAACCTTTATAACGATTAGAACTTCTTAGGAGATGGTGTCAGCCATTCTCAACAAAATCTTCATGTTCTCAAATCAGCAGATTTGAAACATGAATGAATTGGTATAAAGACGAGAGATCTGGCTAAAAAATTGCATAATCATTTTTATTTTGAACTGCCTCAATGGTGCTCCACATCCTTTTTATTTCCCTTCAGATTTAACTAATATTTGTTGGAAATGTATCGGCAGGGATATTGGCCATTTTAAAGAACAATGAAATGCTGACTTGGCCAGAGAAAGTGAAGTTTGCAATTGGGCTTCTGCCAGCAATTGTTGGTGGACAGGCGTATGTTGAGGCTCAAGATGGTTTAAGTGTTCAAGAGTGGATGAGAAAGCAGGTATGCTTTAGCATGCCAATATCAATAATGTAGATGCTTAAGCAGCTCATATACACAGGAAGTCCCTAGCATATTAGCTATGAACCTAGCCTCTTCCTCAGTTGGAAATATACCAGGAGATGTAGCTTATTAGATAGACTAGAAGCAGACTTGCACATATAATTGAGTACTGGAATTTCAAACAAACTATTCATCAGCTTTCTGCCTAGAACATGCACGAATAGAATTCCAAGCTAACTTTTATGATCTTGAAATCTTGTGTATTATTAGACCATGCATGTAAATGCTGCATCTATTATTAAACCATTTTGTAGGATTTTCCACATCTGTGCTTAGAGGTACAATATGTGTGTGATTCTTACCTGTGACGCTTAACCTGCTCAGTGAAGTCTTGCAATGGACAATATCATTGCTGGAAGATTAGGTTTATGTGACATGGTTGTTATGTATTCTGCATCCTGAGGTGAAGGCTTCAGATCAGAGAACCTGCAGCTTCCCTCCTCTCTACTCTCCTTTAAAGAAAAAGAATTTAGGCGAAGATTCCATTCTTTAAAGTACATGGGATATATTCTTTTAGGTCTTAAGTAAATTTCATATGGGAGTTCATCATAGAGAATTGCATAACCATGCAAAGACAGGTATTGTGTTTTGCTGTTTAATTCATTCTCAATGTAGTGATTTTCTAATTAACCTGATCAACTAACACATTGTTTGATAATTTTAGTTTTTGAACCGAGCATTGGTTTATTTTATATTGTTCTCATCAAATCTTATCTAGTATATTTGAACTTGGAATATAACTTGAAATATAGAAATAACCATCTCTTTTTATCTTTTTGCTTGTTAGGGTGTGCCTGATAGAGTGACTAATGAGGTGTTTATTGCCATGTCAAAGGCTCTAAACTTTATTAACCCAGATGAACTTTCAATGCAATGCATTTTGATAGCTTTGAACCGATTTCTTCAGGTATGCTAGCTACTCCTTCCTATCATTCCCCTGGATGCTGTATGAAAACTTTATATACTTGTATATAGAATAGAAAATGGAAACTTGGTTTTCATCTTTGGTTTTATTTCAAGTAAAGTAGTACGTTTCATAGATAGGATAGAAATGGAAACACGGTTTTGATCTAAAAAATGGAAACACGGTTTTGATCTAAAAAATGGAAACTCGGTTTTGATCTTTGGTGAGAATTTTTATTTCAAGTACGGCAATATACTTCATATATAGGATAGAAAATGGAAACTCGGTTTTGATCTTTGGTGAGATTTTTTATTTGAAACACAGTATGGTTGGAATTTAGAGCTAGTTTTTACTTCTTTGATGTGTGCAAGTCACAGCACCTAAGGAAATTCACATATTTGCATCTAGATCTTAAGTTATAACTGTAACGATTCCCAACAATGGAAAAATTTTCTACAGGGGAATCAAAGTTCATTTCCCCCTTTTTGGCGCTCTGATTCAATTTAGTTTCAATCATGCCATATTCTGTTTGCAAGCAGCAAGCTGCTGATCGTCCTATATTTACTTCTTTGTTTGTTATGTCATTTCTAATCCTTTTCTACCCGTCTGGCTACTACTCGAAAGATGTACAGGCAGTTAGAAAAAACATATATGCATATCATTTTCAGATTCAAGTTATCTCTTTATTCATGCACGTGCACAAATTCTTCTATATATTTATGGGGTGTGTGTTACAGGTGTATATGTTTATGGTAGTTTTCCAGATTATATTTTGTATGTGAATAAATAGAAATCACTTCTGTCTTTTCATTTCAATTTTTCTTCTTATGGACAAGGGTTATAAGCATAAAATTTGGGATGCAATGATCTTAAATGAACTCACTGATGTCCTATAACCAATCCCATGAGTTCATTAACGCTCATTTCTAATTTTGCTCAGGTTGCTTTGGACAAAAACTTGAATTTTTCTCTTAATTTCTTTCTGCAACCTGTAAATGATGTGTTTGGGTGCATTAATTGGTTTAGACATAATTCAACACACATGCACTGTTTTATAAAAGCTACAAGAAATACATTTTTCTGATAGATGGAATTATGTCAATTGCCAACAGGAGAAACATGGTTCAAAGATGGCTTTCTTGGATGGTAACCCCCAGAGAGGCTCTGCATGCCAATTGTTGATCATATTCGGTCGCTTGGTGGTGAAGTGAAGCTTAATTCTCGGATAAAGAAAATTGAGCTAAATGATGATGGAACGGTGAAGAACTTTTTACTACATAACGGGGATGTGATTGAAGGGGATGTTTATGTGTTTGCCACTCCAGGTATATTTAAATCTTTCCCATTACAATATGTAGCTCATATAATTTTTAATCCCCGTTCTCTAATATTGTTAGCGTATGTTGATCCAACCAGTCGATATCCTGAAGCTTCTATTGCCTGACAACTGGAAAGAGATCCCTTACTTCAAGAAATTGGATAAATTAGTTGGAGTTCCTGTTATTAACGTTCACATATGGTTAGTGATAGATTCCATTTTCATAATTAAGCAAAATAATGACAATGCTCTGCTAGTGTTCTTACAACTTCCATGTTATATCTGTAGCTTTCTTTGTTCAACTTTCTGGTTTTGACTACCCGTGCTTTGCTGCAAGTGGTAGCACCTCTTTGCATTATGCAAGGAGGTGCTGGGTTCGAGGCAAGAATCTTTAATTACTCTGTTTCCTAACGGTGGCAGTTTAGCCCCACAACTTTCATTAGTGGTCAATTTAGTGGGGAGATTCTGGTTTGCAATGTTGAGAGATGGAAGGAATAACTAAAGGAAGTTTATTGCATTTGTTAGATGGTCTTGATATGTGTTGCTTATGCACCATGGGAACATTCTTACCTATCGTATAATAGTGTTCATTAATTGTGTTTCCACACTAACTTTTGTATCATGGTACTCATCAATTCTCACGTTGGAGTCAATGTCTCTCTCTGCATGTTTGCTGTTAAACAGTTCAAATGTTAGCCTGATGTTCCTTTGACCATTATCTTTATTGCAGGTTTGACAGGAAACTGAAGAATACATATGATCACCTACTTTTTAGCAGGTCCTGCGCCACTAGTTTGTACATATTGATTTGTTTAGAACATATTTATGTTTGCTGTCAAAGGAACACTCAAGCCAAAAGCTTAATATGTTAGGTGGGACCCCAAGAATGATTTCATATTTCATTCTCGTACACCTTCCTTAAGTGAGTCCTCTAAACTTGATACTTGAGCAGGCCTACCAGTCTCAAATGGGTTAAAGAACCACTCAACCCAAAAAATTAAAGCTCTTAAGTAAGGCCGCACAAGTGGTTTTACATTATATTTTTTCATTGCATGTATGGCACTTACACACACACACACGCACGCACGCACAAGCATATGTATGTTTAATGCATCTCCTATGCTCATCGAGCAACCTAGAAGCTAGCAATTTTATGAGTGATTTTGTGAAAACTTAGAACCATTGATTTGAATTTCTATAAATAATGTACTATGAATCCAATTTTGGCAAGAAGCTTTTCCCCATGTAATAATTTAGAGCTAGGAATTTAGAATTAATAGTACCACCAATGTTGTTGAAATTTGAGTTGGCAGATCTGTTGCCTTTTCAACTGTTTTTTGTTTCAATAGAATGTTGTTAGGGTTCCTAGAATTGCTCTATCAAGAGTTCAATGTAAAACTTTCCAATGATAGGCACTAAAAGGGTTTTTACTGAGAAGTTTGGTCGAATTTGCTACTGGATTTTTGGAGCTTGGACTTCAAACTCTTCCACTGCCAATTTTGTTTGCCCTTTTGTGTCGAGTAGAGTTTTTCTTTCATTGACATTTGATGTTTTCCCTGTCCAACTCTATGTTAAGTCTTCTTTTTGGGAAAAAAAACCATTTCTTTTCTCTTTCTTTCTGAAATTAGAGTTGCTATATCTACTGACCAGTTTTATCTCCCTCTTTTTAATGTTGTGCAGAAGTCCCCTTCTCAGTGTGTATGCTGACATGTCTGTTACATGTAAGGTAAAATGATAGTTAAATGGTTTCTTGACACAAACTCACACATGTATATACTTGTGTCATAAAATGCATGCGCACAAACATATACTGGGTTGTGTCCTTGGCATGACAATGCTAATTTTTTCATGTGGAATAACATAATTTATTGTAGTGGTATCTAGTCTTAGTAGAATTTCAGCTACCAGGTTAACCAGTGAACTTTTTGTCATGTCCTAGGAAAAACATTGAATTCACTTCCTTAGGCCCATTGTGAATGGAAAACAGCATACTATTTGGGGCTTGATGAGGTCTTTGGCCAGCTATTGGTTAAGTTTTATGCAATTGCTATTGTTCTGTAGCCATTCAGAGAAAGTGCAAGAGCTTGTTTTATTACTTCAACTGATCAAATCTTCAAATGCATTCGTTCTGTCCCCCTCCCCACTCATAACATAAATTTAACTGTTGACTCATTTTTTACTGTTGATGCAGGAATATTATGACCCAAATCGATCTATGCTGGAGTTGGTTTTTGCTCCTGCTGAAGAATGGATTTCATGCAGTGACTCAGAGATTATTGATGCTACAATGGGGGAACTTGCAAAACTTTTTCCTGATGAAATTTCTGCAGATCAGAGCAAAGCAAAAATCCTGAAGTATCATGTTGTTAAAACTCCAAGGTTAGATTGCAAAGCCTTGCATTTGGAAATACTTCATTGAAAGCAGTTAAGCAAATCGTGAATAGTGTTTGACGTCCTCAGAGGAGCATGGTAGAGGGATTCATTACCCTCATGTGACTGAAGTAATGCGTTTAAGTATAATAACTGACCTAGTGGCATAATATTTGACTTTTTATCTTTCTTGCAAAAATGTTAACAAATGCCATCCAGCAGGACCAGCATCCTTTGTAGTACTTTACATCACTGCTTTTGATTGGTTTTCCAATCTTTTACATAGAAAACCTTAACTGGTGAATGATAACAGTATTTGAATCTTCATTTCCTCTCTAAGACCTTTCTGATAAATGTCTCAGGTCGGTTTACAAGACTGTCCCAAACTGTGAACCTAACCGTCCTTTGCAAAGATCTCCTATAGAGGGTTTCTATTTAGCTGGTGACTACACAAAACAAAAGTACCTGGCTTCAATGGAAGGTGCTGTTCTATCAGGGAAGTTTTGCGCACAGGCAGTTGTCCAGGTACTCACTGTCTGATCTAGCACATTCTTTTATGTTGTCTGTCATGTTCGCTTGTCTGTATAATAGCCTTGGGGATAGGAAAGGTTCAATTTAGAGGAACTTTAACTTTTGTCTTGCTAGATGCTGAAGTTCTGCAGATAGTAACAGTTCTCAGACAGAACTGAAAAGCATAATAAAAAATAGAAAGGTTGTGTCTCTGGTCATGACTGTGCCCTTAAAAATGACGGAAAATAAAATAAAAAGAATTATGTATCAACAAGAAATGAAAAGGGTGATGAAAAACGAGAAGGGAAGCATTGTACCTAATGTTTTATAGAATACAAATCAGTGATAAAATGCATTGACTTATGCAGGATTATGAGTTGCTCGTTGCTCGAGGGCAAAGAAAGTTGACTGAGGCAACCATTAGTTAAAAACTCTGGAATTGGAAGGCCTTTTTCGTATCCGTCGAGGGTCGTCCAAAGAATTAGGGCAGGTGGTTTGACAATATTCTTCCTCAAGTTGTTCATATATGCTACATTCTGTAAAACTCTCAAGTGAAGCGAATCTCTCCATCCAAAGCCTTTTGATCCCCTTGCTGTTATATTAATATATGGCATCATCTTGTTGATCACATTATAGAACAATCATTTATAATGAGAAAAAAGAGTATAATAAAAGATGAAAAGTAAATTCGAACGGTATTTCGTGAAAATAAAATTATTGATGACATGTAAAATTAGTTTATTTTATATGATCATATACAAGCTTTTTTTTTTTTTTTATCGTTTTTTATCAAATCTTATTTAAGGTTTTTTTCCCTTAGTGATAAGTTTGCTCATATATCAAAGAGTTTGAAGTGTAACGGTAGTGGTAGTGGTCTCTTGTAACAAGAAGTTATAGATTTAAATTCTAACAGATTAATTCTATTTTGAGTTTTGAGTGTGTGAATTAAAATGATGATGATGATGATGATGATCAGTTAGCTCATAAGGCTAGCCAGCAACTCTAACTTAAGCTCACTTAAACTCATGTTTGGCTCATATATGTTTAACCAACGGCTTGAGCCTAGTTCTCAATAAGCCTATCTTTAGTAAGCTTTAAGTAAAGGTGGGTATGAAAAAAAAAAGTAGAAGAAAAAAAAAAAAAAAAGGGAAGGATGGGACAAAATATGTGAATAAATAACTTTTTTTCTTAAAAAAAATAAATTAGATATGCTATCTCAGATTATGGGAAACATTGTTAGATTTATATATTCAAACTTACATGCAATAAACAATATTTAATTATCAATAGGATTAAAAAAATTTATAGCATTTGGAGCCCTCTTTTACGGTGATCATCATAACACGGGCATGTTTTGGTTTTAAACATCATGCATGTTTCTTTCTATAAAGAACACAGTTTAATTGTAGCCACACTGATTAAGATTGTGATCAATCTTAAATTCTAAAGATATGATCACTAGTGTGTGTATGAATACAAACAGTAAATATACTTAAATTTATTGACACAGAAAAATAATTAATTCCACCAAATTCTTTTGTTTTGTTTTTCTGCTCTTTAACATCGATCGATCATAGGAATAGGAACCTGTGAAAAAGGCAATTGTTCTAAGAAGAAGCTATATATATATATATTAATCCCACCTTAACATTTTTCCAGTTTCTTCTTCCTTCAAGGGTTTTTTTTTTTTTTTGTCTTGCAGAAACGATGGGTCTTCTTGGAGCAGTCTTTCAAATTTTGAATGCGTTAGTTCTACCAATACTTGGGTAAATATTTTGGTACCAATATTGTTGAAATAATAATTATTTTATCAAAACTATATGTTACATATATAGCAAATATTTGAGCAATATTTGTCACCAAAAGATTTAATTAAAAGGATATATATACATATCATCCATGAATTCTAAATAATTTTTTTAAAAAAAATCTGTAGCTCTCCTCTCTTTTTTTTCAATTGTTAATCATTTTTAGTTATTTATTTATTTATTTTTGGACCAGGCCTTCAGTAATGCTTCTTTATCCATCGTAAGTAAAACCCCATCGTTTTTCTCGGGAAAAAAAAACATAATGTTTAATTCTTTAATTAATTAAGAAGTTGTGATGCATGCATTTGAACATATTCTAGACATGATCTTAACAGGTATGCATCAATTCAAGCAATTGAGAGGCCTTCACCTCGAGACAACAAGCAGTGGTTATCATATTGGATTATATATTCATTTATATCCCTATTCGAGTTAACCTTTTGGGTAGTTCTTCAATGGTAAGTACGTAAGTGCAAACCATACACAAATTAACCAATAATATAGTAAATTGATTTTTTTTAATAAAAAGTACATATAATTTAACACTTTTTAATTAATAATTATAGGCTTCCATTGTGGGCATTGATCAAGCTTCTGGTTCATTTGTGGTTAGTGCTACCTGTTTTCAATGGGGCAACTTTTGTGTATGAGAATTATATGCGGAACTACAGAAAGCTAAACCTTGATGGCTTAATACAAAATTTGAGAAATATGATCCCTGGTGAAGGATTTTAATTAATTATATGCCTTACGTTGAGGAGAATAATTAATGAGCTATCATTTTCAAATTTTTTTTTTTTTTTTTTTTTTGTCCAGAATAAAGTTTTCATTTTTTTTCCTTATCCTTATAGATGTATCATAATTGTTAGAGAGTAATATAAATTATATTATTGGGCCTTATCTAATAGCTTAAGCTTCTAAGTGAGATGATCATTTAATATGATATTAGAGCTTAATTGACAAAGAGATCCCGAGTTCAAGTTTCATCACTTTTAATTTCTCAAACCTTAAGCACAAGACAATGTGGATATATAGCCCACATATCAAGGCTTTCACTTAAAGAGGTGTGTTAGAGAGGGGCCTTACCTAACGACTCAACCTTTTACGTTTTTAGGTGAGATGGTCCTTTAACACTAATAATCAAATTAACAATTGATTGATTAATAATGTAGTAGTATGTATTGATTAATTGGTTTGGTCATTACTAGTTGGATATCCACATTTCGTTGTAATCGGACAACCGTTACGTATGTAAGGTTAATAATTTGTATGATATAGTGCGAATAGAAGTCTTGATTCTAGTAATTAATGTAAATCAAATATATATATATATATATATATATTAACAAAATAATAAATAATCAATAATAATAGCATAAAAAAGTTATATTTCAATAATTAGAAGGCTTTTTCAAAACATTATTTTAATTATTTTATTTGAAATTATTGATTTTAAAACATAAAAAGGAATAAATAACAAATAATTAGTATTAAGTGTGCATATATATAGTTAATTTTTCACAAAACTAATGATTCAACTATACACGTTAGGATTATATGTACCAAATTTAGAATATATAACGTAAAAACATAAATAAAAAATATATATAGAAAAACCACCTAATTTGTATAGAATATATTGAAGTTAATAGATTGAAACAAAAACTACTACAAAATTAGTTTATATATATATATATATATGCAACTACGTTATTTTTATTTAAAAATCAATCGTATAAATTATAATAATTTATCAAGAAAAAGATAAAATAATCACGTTCTAAAGTTTTATTTCAAAATTCATATAAAAAAAACTATATTTATCAGTAAATGGAATTATATCAAAAAAATAAAAAATAAATTTTATGATAATTTTGATAAGAAATGATAAATTGAAGAAATAATTTTTAAATAATAAGAATAATATAATATGATATATATGTTCAATGTAAAATCTTAAAACTTATATATATATATATTAAAATCGTATGGAAAACTAAAAAAAATAATGATATATATTTTTTATAATTTTCACACGATAAAAAAAAATATAAAAATAAATTGTTAGAAAAAAACAGCCCAGGCCCGGGCACTTGGGTCTGTTTGTGCAGGCGCGGGCAAGGCCAGGCCAGCCTTCCTGGGCCTGCTTTGTCATCCCTGTGCTCGGGCCAAGCCCTGAGAAGTTGGGCCTGCTTCTGCAGGCTGCGCACGAGGCCCTTGGGTCCCGACAGTTAAAAAAAAAAAAAAATTGGATGGAAATAAAAAGTTTAGAAACATGTGAGACCATAACGTAAAAGTTTTTATAATTTGTATATAACTGTTGGAAAAGACTAGAAAATTTGAATCTATAACTACAATAACTTAATAGAAACAACCTCACTTCTTTTAGTTTTTTTTTTTTTTTAATTAATGCATACCAATAAAATATCTCGAAGTTTGAATTATATATATATTACAACAAAATTGGCCAAATATTATTGGTGACTTTCGGCCAAACTAGGAAATTTGAATCTACTTATTTTTTACTTTAAAGAAAATCTTATTTTATTTAACTGGAGTGGTTGAGTTATTCCAATAAAAAAACATGATTTGTCCAGTTTATTTTTTCGGGAGGACGGATGAGACAAATCATGATTCTGAGTGAGGGAAAGACTATTGGATATTGGGGGAAATGATGAAAACTAATCAACTCATGTAGTTGTTCAATGATTTTTTATTTTATTTTATTTTCCTTCCTTTACTTATAATTAAGGCGGTATCGAGGAAAGGGGAAATTTTACACAAAGTTATCTAATTAATTTATTTTCTTCCAGCACTTGCAATATTATAATAGAAAATATTAAAAAATGTGAAAGATTAATTTCCTTGGGTTATACATTAATCCCGAATTCTAAATATAAAAAATACAACTTGTGTCGAAATTTTTTATTGAACAAAAATACCCTTATCTATTAAAAAATAAGCTAGCTAGTGTTTCTACTAAAATAAATACCATAAAAGAAATCATACTTTCTCTCTCTTTTTTTTTTTTTTTCCCATTCCTCACCCCAACTTTTATTCAGTTAATAAAAAATATGAAATGGTAACGTTATGTCATTGAAGAGGAAGTCAATCATCTTGGTAAACAGACATTTTGCTTATTTGTGTCATGGTTATAAGCAGCATTTACTTTGAAAATTTCATATAAGAATGTTTTCCCATAAAAAGAAAACGTACCTGCACGGGTACTGCAATATATTGAGAGATGAAAAGGGAACAAATCTCCTATCTACCTTACAAACGTGAAAAGAAATAGTTAAAGATCTTGATTAATGTATAATAATACCCCACAATCGTCCTGCCTTCTCGGAAATCTTTCTTGAAACTTCCAACATCCCCTTCTTTTCCATGCTGACCATGTTCAGTCCCTCCCTTCAAAATTAAGCAAGCCAAACCTCTTTTTTATAGAAATCTACACCAATGCATCTTCTTTCAATGCAAATCTTCGATCCTGTTTCCCATATAAATACTTGTCCATGTTCCATTAACCACCTTAAAATATATATATATATGCAAGTGTAGTGACTTTTTTATAATTAATTATTTCTGCGCAAATGGTGTCCTATAAATACATCAACAAAACTTTGACACTTCAGGTTTTGCCCTTATAAGCTGGGAGCTTTCTTCCTCTCTTTTGAGTTTTCCATTTTTCCTCTAATATTTTTTTTCCCCTAAACCTATTATATATCTACAATACATATATGGCTGAGGTCAAGCTATTCCATAAGAATGTTGCCAACAGCCCAGCAAAGAAAAAGGGGCATGGCTTTACGAGAAAATGTGCTTCTTTGGTTCAAGAACAACGAGCCCGGATTTATGTACTTCGCCGCTGTGCCACCATGCTTCTCTGCTGGTACATTCGAGGAGATGACTAGCTAGCTAGTTGGGTGCCATATTACTTCTTCTTCTTCTTCTTTTTCTTTTTTTGGTAACTGCTTTTTAGCTTTCAGCTCTGAGAATTAGGCCAGTCTGGTTTTGTTTTGTGGTCTTCCAAACTGATTCTCCGCAAGTGTCATTCATTTTTTTGACCCAATTGGCGTAATCCAATGGGTTTTGGGGCACTGAAGAGCTTGATTATGAACCACAGCTTTCCTTTTAACCAGACTGTGCATGAAGTAGGAGCAGTGAAGGAAGTAATATGTTGTGATTTTTGTATCTTTTAATTAAGAGCTTGGAAACAAAAGTTCGTATTGGTGCTGTTTACAGCCTTGTAAAAAGCAGCTGTATGGAAACAAAATGTAATGGAAGCAGATGAAACAATTGAAATATGAAAGGGGGTATCCATGTAATGTCCAAGTTGTGTTCGGTAGATCATTCACTATTTTTTATGATAAATATATATAGATTACTTTTTCTACCTAGTTTGTCTTATTACTTCAGAATATATATATATATATTGTTCCAAATTCCAAAATTAAGAAAAAAATATTTTATGTTAATTGTCATCATGAGTTATATATATATATATATATATATTATTGGATGCGTGTATGTCAATCGAAAATAAGTTATTGAACATATTTTTGATATATGTATTAAGATGAATGATGAATTTAATAAATTTATTTAAGTGTTGATTTTAAGGTTTGAATTAAAAAAAAATTAAGGAAACTAATTTTCTTAATTATCATACCAACAACTCCTTGAAATTGTCATCCCTAGATAACATTTTCGAAGATAACGAAATTAAAAGAAATAATATTGATGTGCATAATTTAATTTAATTAATCCTAATAATAATTGATGTACATCATCTTTAACACTAATAAATAAGATGCCTACATCAAAGAAATTTTATTAACTAATATAAAAGTATAAAGAACATTAATTGGGTAATTTACATTAACCATAGAATCATTTATGAACATGAAAGTTAAGTTACTATTCAAAATGTAATTTTTGCTATCTATTAATTAGTTTATAAATACACATTCTTCAAACTTAAATGTTGTTATTTCTAATTATTTATGAATTTAGAGTATTATAAGACACTACAAATGTCTATTGTCATACCAAAAAAAAAAAAATCATCTATTGATGTGCATAATTTAATTTAATTTTTTAATAGCGACTTTAACTATTCGAAATTTTCTTATTTTCTTACAAATTTATTATTTATTTGTTATTTTAGGAGCTGTTATTGCTTTCTCTCGATCCAACGGTTGATGAAGGGATTACAATTGCACATTTGTTCATATCACAAAGAGGAAAAGAATATATTTTTGTGGAGAGAGAGTTGACACCTTGAATAAGATTCAATTCCAGCTGATGTGTCATGACCACACACCAAAAAAAAAAAAAAAACAAAAAACAAAAACAAAAGCAAAAACAAAAAAAAGGTCCGAACTGAAACTTGATGAGTGGAGTGTTGTCTTTGTTGATAACCCAATCCAAAACCAAATGCCCAGAGTTCTCACAGCTCTCAAGGTCTACGATGCCAATGTTTTGTATCACACAGCGATCACTCACTCTTCCAGGCCTCTCGGCCTTTCTCTCACAACATCAACAGCAGCAACAACTCTTCACCATTACTGATCATGCATCTTCTTCGTCACCATTTTTCACCGTAACTGCTCCTCTCTTCGTTCCTCCTTTAAGAACTACTAGACGTTCAACTAATAATATCACTGCTAAGTTCTCTGTCTCTGCCAATGCCAACGCTGAAAATTCTAATGAAACGGCTACCACCACTGCCACCAACGCAGTTCTTGAACCTTCACCTGATGATTTGCGGCAGGCTCGGGTGTGTTGTGTTGCTATCTTTATTCTTGTGTCTTGCTTGCTTCAGTTCTTGAAATTTTCTTTTCCTTTTTTTTTTTTGCTTAAATGATCAAAACTAACACAGTTTTTGTGCAAAGAAGTAGAGGTCTGCTGATTGGAAGGCGGTAAAGGCGTACTGTGATGGTGGACTCATCTTTCAAGGAAGGGTTGAAGGATTCAATGGTGGCGGCTTAATTGTTCGTTTTTATTCTCTTGTGGGTTTTCTTCCCTTCCCTCTGTTGAGCCCTTCACATTCTTGCAAAGGTAGTCTCTCTCTCTCTCTTTCCCTTTTACATGGTTTTCTCATTGTACTTGGTCTTGGAGCTTTGCTTTTTTTTTTTTTTTTTCCCGCTTCAATAGATCAAATATTCTGATCATTTCTATATTATCTATTACTTCTGGTTTTCCCCTTGATTATATATGGGTATTTGGCTGCTAAGTATAATTTGGCTTGTCTGTAATCTTTAACTAAAATGATGATAAAATGGTTTTTGGGGAATGTTGTAATGACTTTTTAATATGGGAAAACATTAGCAGACAAGGTGACTGTTGTATGGAGCATTGAAATTTGAATTCTAATTCTAATGTTTTTCAATAGTCCCTAGTTAACTCTTTAGTTCTCCATTTATGTAGGCTAAGCGTCGTCTTTGTTGATAATCCTAGAAATTTCTCTGTTTTCCTTGTAACTGCTCCTTAAATTTCTGTCATAGAAAATGGACTTGTGACTGAGAACTTGTTGTACTGTTTTGTCTTCTCTGATTTTGTGATTACATTTCATGTAGAGCCCCAAAAGACTATCCATGAGATTGCTCAAGATTTGACTGGTTCACTCATTTCCGTGAAGGTAATGACTTTCGTCTGTCTATTATGCTAGAATTGAAGTGCAAAGAACTTAAATTTTCTTCATGTGTGTGTTAGATTTATTTAGTTTTACAAAAGCATGTAGCTTGTAAACTTGCGCATATTGGTCTTTGTATGTAGATGCGACCCGTTTGGCTCTTCCGTGAAGGGTTTTGCACTGAAGTCCTGACAGTGTTTTGTTAACAGTCTTGCATTGTGCAAAGGCATCCCTTTGGATGTCTTTCAAATGCATTTTGAAAGATCAATTCAGTTTTTTTTTTCAAAAAATTATTTCAAGTTAGGTGTTGGCATCGAGCCATCAAGGTTATCGTATTTCCATTATCTAATTATCCTGGCTCATGGTTGACCTGTGATATAGACTGGCACTCTTTTTTTGACCACTTCTGTTCGTTGACTACAGCATCACTATGAGAGTATTCTCTTGGAGGCTTTGTGTGTTTTTCGGATTGAGTTATCAAAACCATGATTCTAAGTGTCTTGTAATTCCAAAATTATGGTTTAATATTTTGTTTACTCAAACCTGCTGTATTGTTAACTCTACCACAACCTCAAACACACAATAGTTTAAACGAACAAAAGTATGCAAAAATGCGTTGTCCAATAGGATAGAGAAAAGATGAAGCCGATAACACAGAAAGCTTACAAGAATGAGTACATGCGGAACATGATAAGTAGTAATTAAATACAAAATCACAACAGTAAGAGAAAATTACTGGATGATCAAACTGATGTGTTTGGGCACTCCAAATGATAAAAACCTTATGTAGTGCTTAAATTATTTTCTTCCTGAATTATAGGTTTTTGTTTGTTATGATGATCTGAAGATTTTACATCTTGACTTAACATTGACATGGAAAAAGTAGTTGCTGACTGAACGTGGAAGAATTGATGGCTAGTGATAAACATTCTTTGGGGTATAAAGACTCTAATTTTCAAAGCATTAATCTCGCTGGTTTTTTTTTTTTTTTGGATAACTTGTTGGGAAAACAAAACAGCTGTGAAACCTGGCCTTAATCTCAAAAGGTGACAATAAGAAATCCAGAAAAGCTGAAATAAAAGCAAAAATGGTAAGAACAGACTTCTTGGAAAACTGCTTTTTAATCTCATGTCATGATGCTTCTATTCCTCCTTATGTGTTTCTTGTAATAGTAAACGGTTCCTCTTACTCCTTGCTTTTTATTCCCTGCTACCCCTTGCTTGGTAACAATTCAACATTTCATTCAACTGTAGTGATGTTCTTATACTTCTCTAACATTTAGGTAATCGAAGCTGAAGAGGAGAACCGGAAATTGATATTCTCTGAAAAGGAAGCTGTCTGGTCACAGTTTTCTAAAACAATTAATATAGGGGATATTTTTGCAGGAAGGGTTGGTTCTGTTGAGGACTATGGTGCCTTTATTCACTTGCGATTCCCTGACGGTATCCCCTGCATCTGTTTGTGTACACTTCTTTTTGTCCCTTGAGATTTTTAATTTTGCAAGATTTATTGGTGGTGTCTTGAAACTATGGTACAGGTTTGTATCATCTTACCGGACTGGTACATGTGTCTGAGGTTTCATGGGATTTAGTTCAAGATGTAAGGGACATCCTTAATGTTGGTGATGAAGTAACAGTCAAAATTATTGATATAGATCAGTAAGTCTTTTTTGCTTTTCTCTTCCATTACTATTTGCATTGAATGAATTCACAATGAGGCATTTTCAGTAACACACCAACCAAAAATCAAACAATACCACAATGTAGTGCAATTGGTATATGTGGTTTTGTTCTGTCCCATTAAATTATGCATTGTCCTAAAGTAAAAGCATAGTAGCCCATTTCTCCTCTGTTGATTTTTATTCCATTCTATGCAAATGATGTTATATTTTGCTTCCATTCGTTTTTGCCTCATTCAGTATCTAAAGTAGCCCTTCATTTGGTGTACCCATGGAATTCTAAGTGGTGGATAGGGGTGTGTGTGTGTTTTATTTCTTTTTTTTTTTTTTTTGTTTTTTTTTTCCTGGTGTAGGGATGAGGATGTCATAACCAGAGTTTAAACACAAGAGCATGCCAGTAAAATGCTGAAATTTTTTTTTTTATTTGATGAGAATCAGTTTTGAGAATTTGATTGATGAACTGATATTTTATTTTGTAATGCAAGGTCCCCTTCCTCTCTTCTTTGCATAAAATTGATTTGTTATGGCATAGATGAATGGCTAGCCTTTTAATTATAGGTTTCATTTTCACACCTAGTTTGTGCCTTCTCAATCCATAAGCTATTGATCCAATCTCCTCAGTTTCCTTGTATGATCAATGGATATACCTTCTAAGTAAGGTCATTTAACTACTTGGTATGATTCCTTGTACATGAAAGTCCCAAACATCAATCCTGTCAGGATAACCTGAGAGGATTCTCAAAAGCAGAGAATTGAGAATACAGGAAAACATGTACTGACTATAAAGTGTAAAGGAAAAAGGTGTTATCATGATCATGTTATCTTTTCTAAATCTTGGTCTCTTCTGAAGCACTAAAATGTACATGTCAAGAAATTTGAATAGCAATCCCTATGGTTTCTATATGGCCAATCCATTCTTTAGCATAACATTAAAGGCTGTCATGAGCAGTTTTGCGAAGGAGGACGTGGCTAGTTCATTTTCTGGCCTATGATTACCTACATTAGGCCACCTAATGGGTTAGAATAAGCTTAATGCTCATGGTATTTGTCTCCAAATTGGCTGTTTTCCTTATGTTTGCCTCTGACTAATATTTTAAATCAATGCAGGGAAAAGTCAAGGATTACACTGTCAATCAAACAATTGGAGGAAGATCCACTGCTAGAAACATTGGACAAAGTGATTCCTCAGGTAGATCGTGTTACATGTTCCATTTATTGTCATATCTTCTGCACAATACTTAGTTGAAGATTCTATTTTAAATGGATATTTACATATTACAGGATGGTTCGGTTCCTCCTTATCCTCTGAGCATGCACAACAGCTTTACTATTGAACCTCTACCAGGACTTGAATCAATATTTCAAGAGCTACTATGTGAAGATGGGTAAGGTTTCATCCTGTATTAAAGAAGTTCATTCTGAAATTTTCAGGCTTCTGTTGTGATTATATTAAACCAAAGTTTTCTTTTCACCATGAACGAACTTCTCTAGCTTCATAATATTCCTGTATCTGTTCTCCAATTGTTTTGATTATCTATTTACCTTTTTGCATGCATATGTTATGAATCTATGGGACTTCTATATCACAATATGCCCACTCTATTTCATTTGAGACTCTTCTATGAATAAATGGTTTAACTCTCAATTATGAGTGGACTCTAAAAATATTTGCATTCCTTTTATGCTCATTGAACTTACCATGATTCAGAGTATCAACTTATTCGGCTATTTTTTGTATGTTCAGCATAGATGACATAAGAATCAGTAGACAAGGGTTTGAAAAGCGTGTTGTTTCGCAAGACCTGCAAATTTGGCTTTCTAATGTGAGTTGCTCCTTTCAGCCATAGGATACTGTGTTTCTTGTGGTGTGTGATGCTTACTATATTTTATATTCTCATCTTATAATCATTCTACAGGCACCACCTATAAATAGGAACTTTACCCTCCTTGCTCGAGCCGGAAGGCAGGTAGGTTATGTTGTAGTCTTCCCCCTCATTGATAGTCTCCCTATCTTTCTCTCTTATTTGTTGTATAATTCAGGTGCAGGAAATACAGCTGACAACAGCACTTGACCAAGACGGTATCAAGAAAGCATTGCAGCGAGTGTTGGAACGTGTTCCATGATGCAAATTCTTGTATTCCCAATTATTTAATGAGTATTCTTTTCTTTGTTCTTTTTTTCTTCTTTCCCTTTTTCCTCCTTATGTATAGATGTTACTGTATACTCAAATTCAGCAACTGTACGTAGTATGTTTTTCGAACATTTTTCTGATTTATAAATTATAAATCTGATTCATGTAAGAAGTGTTGATTTTTCCGATAGATGCTACTCTACCAGCCTGCAAGGAATAAAATATAATTCATCTAAGAAGAAGGCAAAACTTTGCTTATTGTCCCCTAATCGAAAATGGCTTTTACAGAGTTTTCAACAAGCAGCGAGTATTTTGATGCTGTATGCTAATGAGAGAAATACCGGAAAGTGGTACTGCTGGGGGAACTTTGCGAAAAATCTGGTTTGTTTTAAGTAGCTGGGTGTACTCTTCTGCTTGCTGCTTCAAGTGTAAGTAAAATTCAATCCCAATTTGCTTAGAACAGCTTTGAGGACAGGTGCGAGTGGAATTGATCAAATTTCTCAGTACTGCATTGAGTGATATCTCTAGTCAAACTAACTAGTGTTCGTGTGTTTGTGCGTTTCAAAATCGTGACCACGCAGTCTTACTATATTGCTCCTGCATGTTTTCTGAATGTGTGGCAATTTCACTCTAGTGTGGACCAACTTGATTGAGACAAATTTGTCATATGATTGACCAATTGATCTAGCAAGTCTACATGTGAAGTTGCAGATTAGGATGAATGGTCCAAACTTGTATGAATTGCAGCTGTAGTCGGTCTCCTTTCTGTCTTTAAAATGAAGATATTTGCCCGCCGTTATTTCTAAAGGGAGATTATAGCAGTTGGTATGCGAAGAAGAGAGATGGCATGGCAACGAAGTTGGAACCTATTATTGCTTCACTTGCAGCTTCTTCCACCATTAATCAAGAAGAAATGAAGATACTGATTGTATTGTAGGGGACATCATGGTTTCTGTTTGAGTAGTATTTTATAATCTGTGTCAATAGATGTGTAGCCTCTGCTTTCTAGCGCCTGGTTCTTGAATAATAAACGTTAACTATTTAGTCCCTTTCATAATTGTATATGTTGATAAATTTGTCAACTTTACATCTTTACAATAACCTGATGAGCGACCTTTCTTATTCGAAATTTCATAGAAAGTTTCTTTCCATTTGAATTGTTGCAACCGAGTAGAGAAATATCAACTTTATGAACCATGCATTGAATATTTCAGAGGTCACAAATTTGTCTTCTAATGTCATTGACAATCCAAGAAGTATCCCGAACATCCACGTCTACAAGTCTCAATCGATGAACAACCTGATGACTAAGTAATATCTTTGAGACTTGGACCAATATTCTTCTTTGAAATTTCAGCGGCTTAGTAATTTATGCCTAGTCTCCGAATATAGATTCCTTGTACACTTTCAAATCTTTAGATGCAGAATGGCGTATGTAAATAACATGTGTTGCTTGGTAACTAGCAAGCCCCGCTCAGACGATTTGACTAGGGATAGTTACTTGTACGAATCAAAGACTCCAGCATACCATAGTTGAAGCTCTTCCTATATTGGTCATGGTGTCTTCCTAGTCCCCTCTGGAAGTAATATATAATCCATTTGTTGCATCGAAGTGGTAAGCACTTTGCACAATCTCGATCCTTCTTTCACACACGGATAGAATGCGAATTCTATCGGTGCATCTGGTCGTTTTTCTGATGGTATGGCTATCAGCATCACAAGCAATAGCTGTGTCATACGAATTCACTCGTTGTACAAGACAATGTGGAAATGTTGAGATCCCCTATCCGTTTGGAATTGAACCTCAGTGTTACATGGATAAGAGTTATGAAGTAACTTGCAACATCTCCTTCAGCCCTCACAAACCTTTCTTAACCAGCATCAACATGGAATTGCTTCAAGTTTCACTACGTGAAGGCCAAGTTCGAGTCAACAATCCGGTTATTTCTTCCAATTGTAGCAACTCAGCCCCTTCTAGAAGGGTTTATAATTTGTCAGGAAGCCCTTTCATCTATTCAAATACTTCTAACAGATTCACAGCCATGGGTTGTGACAACTATGCAAGGCTTAGTCAGGGTGGTGCTGTCGTCGGAGGTTGTCTGTCGATGTGTGATCGGACTCCAGGCAACACAAGTGGTTGCTATGGCCTCAACTGCTGCCAGACCATCATCCCTCCTCAGGTCAAGTCATTTGAAGCAAACATGACAAAGATTTTGAACAACAATGATGGTGAAGGGTGTAGTTCTGCCTTCATGGTTGAGCAAGATTGGCTTAATTCTAAATTTCTTAATGATGTGCAACCAATGGAATATGTTCCTGCAATACTCCAGTTTGGCACCTATCAAGGGTTTTGCGATATAAGTAAAACTTCAGACGTTATCCTTTGTAGCTTTGATGGTTACTGTTGGAATCGGTTAAGCCAAAGTCATTGTATTTGCAATGGATGCCAAGGTACAAATTTTAGGTTAATTTTTTGCTTTTGTAACTCTCAAGAGATTCGGATAGTCTATTGGTGAACCTCCTGGGAGTATTTTTCTTGCATTTTGAAATCTTAATCGGTTATATATTTGTTTTTTTTTTAACAGACAATGTGGATAGGTGCTTAGATCCTGGGACCTATAGCTGTCGTTTGCTCTGTATGAACGATGCAGGAGGCTACAATTGCTCGTGTCCTGCTGGATATTATCAAAATTATAACCAATGCTACCAACTCAGATCAAAAACCGAAAAACCTAGAGCTATCATCATCATTATAGGTACGCAGATTTTGTTTCTAAATCATTTTTATTCATGTTAGTCTATGTTGTTCCAATCTGAAGCAAAATTTGAGCTTCCGAATGTAATTGACTCGGCCATACCTGCGCATGTAAGATGCTATGTGGGAAACTGTCACACGCTTTCATTCCTTTCTAGTTCAATACTCATATGTATGTCGGAAGGCTTGAATGGAAGAAACTTGACTCTGTATATGTGGATTTCGCAGGATGTGGATCTGGTCTTGGATTACTGTTACTCCTTATCGGTACATGGTGGATATACAAGTTTATAAAAAGAAGAAAGGCGATCGAGCGCAAGCAGGTGTTTTTCAAAAGGAATGGTGGGCTATTATTGCAGCAACAACTGTCTGCAAGTGAAAGCAATGTTGAGCAAACAAAAATTTTTGCCTCCAAGGAATTGGAGAAGGCCACAGACAACTATCACGTGGATCGAATTCTTGGCCAAGGAGGTCAAGGAACTGTTTACAAAGGAATGTTGACAGATGGAAGAATTGTGGCTATCAAGAAATCAAAAGCAGTGAACCAAGGCAGACTAGAAGAATTTATCAATGAGGTTGTAATTTTGTCGCAAATTAACCATAGAAATGTGGTTAAGCTATTTGGATGTTGCTTGGAGACAGAAGTTCCTCTACTGGTCTATGAGTTCATCCCTAATGGAACTCTCTTCCAACATCTACATCATCCGAACGAAGAGTTTCCTATGACATGGGAAATTCGTTTGAGGATTGCCGTAGAAGTCGCTAATGCTGTATCTTATCTGCATTCAGCAGCTTCCACGCCTATCTTTCATCGCGATATAAAGTCTACAAACATACTTTTAGATGATAAATATAGAGCCAAAGTGTCAGACTTTGGAACTTCAAGATCACTTGCCATTGATCAAACTCACTTGACCACTCGAGTGTTGGGAACTTTCGGCTACTTAGATCCAGAGTACTTCCAGTCAAGTCAGTTCACAGAAAAGAGTGATGTTTACAGCTTTGGAGTAGTTCTCGTCGAGCTTTTAACAGGACAGAAACCAATCTCTGCAACCCGAACTGAAGAAGGAAAGAGTTTAGCAACATATTTTCTACAGTCAATGGAAGAGAATCGTTTGTTCGAAATCGTTGATGCTGGAGTTCTGAAGGAAGGTGGGAAAGAAGAGATTACAGCAGTCGGTAAGCTGGCAAGAAGATGTTTAGACTTGAATGGCAAGAAAAGACCCAACATGAAGACAGTAGCAATGGAGTTAGAAATGATCAGAGCTTCACAAGGAGCTTCTTCCACCATTCAAGAAGGTTATGAAGAGGTCGATTATACTGCAGGTGACATTGCTGGGCCATGGGATACTTCATCAACTGCAACTGGATCATTTTTCAATAGTAGCACTGTATCGGTGCAAATAGATAGGCAACCATCTCTACTTTAAAAATTCCCTATGATGGAAGGATAGAAATTAATGTTTGCCCTTTTCTTGACTGATTCATTGCATCAGCTTATACAATAAATTAATTTTCTCAGGACTTTATTGTATGCATTTTGGTGATTATAATCTGTCAATGTTGTTTATATTCTTGGTAATTCTCAACTTTGAATCCATGTCAAAGGATCGAGAATCCGAAACAATAAAAACTTCAAGTCACTATTAAAATTAAGAAATATTCTTTAATTTGTCATTAATTCTCAACAAAACGTCAGAAAAAATGGATTCGTGTCTAGCACAGGTTAGGCTACATGTCAGGAACTAACCGTGCATCGGACGGAGAGAACATATTGAGAAAGTTTCTTCAGTAGAGGGACCATATTACAAACGTTACGAGTACATGGACCATATATACAACCTTTCTAGTTGTCCGCTTGGTCAGAGGGGAGGGTTTATCATCAGAAAAAACCACCGGGAACTCAAAAATCCCAACAAAAAAAAAAAGAAAAAGAAAAAGGAAAAGAAATGCTTGTCTTCTCATCTCCTCTTCGACTCCAGAGTATTGTCGTATGGTCCCAAACATCTCGACAGTTCAACTCCTTGCCTCCATTTATAAAGCAGAACCAGGTGAAGAAGCGGTCTGGAGTCACCAGAAACAACACCCCGCTGTTCCTTAGGAACCATACTAATACAAAGAGCACAAAAAATGACATTGATTTTGACTTCCAGAATGAATTTTCACCACCATCAACATCGGAGGATCCGAGCAGAGGAGAAACGGATTTTGATAGAAACCCTGAATTTGCTGAAATTCTTGGTTCTTGTCTTGATGACCCACTTAAAGCTCGTTCTAAAGTATGTTCATCTTGTCTCTCTCTTTTGTAATCCGTTCCACAACAAATGTTGCTGTCTTGTCTTAAGTTGGCTAATTGATGGAAATGGGTTTTTAGATGGAAGAAAGATTGAGGCGTAAAAAGAACAAAATTTTGCACACGAAGACAGGTTCAGCTGAACCCATCAAGGTCACTTTCAACAAGTAATTTTTCAATCCTTTCAATTCCCATTAGTTCAAACACTATTCTTGTAATTTATTTCAATTCTTGCTTTGCTTGGTGATCGTCTTAGTATCTTTTGAGTAAAACAGAAGATAAACTCTGCTGATTCAGTTAAATGGCATTTTGAAAGGGGTTAGGCATATGAAAAAAGAATTTGCCTTGCTTCATACTATAGGTGTTCGTGTTGATGCTCAAGAAGCTGATGTTTGCTATGACCATGATACAATTTGATTCTTATGGTAGTATTGCAAGGCTATTTATGCAAGCTTGAAAACCATTGCTGAGCGAAGCCTCAGGCTTTCCCTGAACTTATGGTGGAAATTCTTAGAAACAGTCAGGATGCATATAGGCTTGAATTCATAGCAACTCATATAGGCTTCAATATCTATATTTTCTAAGGTAGCGATGCTTGCTTGTGAGTATGTATCATGTTGAACGCTATTTCATGAAATTAACTAGTGAATCCACAATTTACACAAGCATATATGCCGCAATCTATGGTTGCCGAACCCACCGCTTTTATCAACTTATTTCAAATTTTCTTAGTACTGAAAATTCTTGAACACATTTTCTTGTTCCAGGTGGATAGCTTTTGTAATTTGTAGGTCTTTGGGAACTGCCACTTTTCTAATATGGTTAAATTATAATTGTTTTGACCTTTTCTATTCTGTGTGATGCCTGGTGTCTAATGTGAAAATGCCACATGGATGCTTTTCTTTGACCTTTTCTCTTCTGCTCCTGTTTTTATCAACTCACTCTGTGGCCGGCATCTCCAGATTTGATTTCTCGAACTCATATATATGGTTTGAATTCTACAATGTACCATTGGAAAACGATGTGTCCTTAATTTGTGATGTAAGTAACTTTTCTTGAACTTAGTAATGGTATTTTGGGCTATGAAATCAAGTCACTATGAAGTTTATGTGGCATGTTCTTGCAGACAATTCGATCATGGCACATTGTTGGGCGTCTTGGTGGATGCACTTCCATGAATATGCAAGTAAATTTTTCTTGAATGACTTCAATTTTTTTTTTAGAATATTTTCTCGCTATAAAAAGATGTTGAGAATTGAAATGGTTGATTGTATTGCATCAAAAAAATGGTGATGCACTGGATGAGCTTTGTTAAGTTAAATTTTCCCAAATGTAGAGCACTTAATTGCTGATAAAAACATCAGATTTGCCATTGTTGCAATGAGTAACCATGTGATGTGAGAGTATGAGTTACAGAAAGAATAGGTTTTGTTCCATCAAGATGCTTTCTTTCTTGCTGGCACTAAAGTTTGTTTTGCTGTGTTTCATTCTTTGCAGCTGTCACAATCAACTTTTGAAAAAAGACCTAATTATGATGCCATTCAGGGAGCAAATGTGACACCGTCCACGTTTTACAACATTGGAGATTTTGAGATTCAAGACAACTTGGCACGTGTATGGTATGAGGATCATTTCAAATTTTATTTAATTGGTTCAAGAGTATTCTTTTTCATCATAGTGATTCTGATGGTTCTTGTTCGTGGATGATGATAAAAATAATATAGGGTAGATATTGGGACGACTGAGATGTTGCTTCTGGACGTTCTGATAAATGCCTTGACACAAATAAGCTCTGAGTAAGTTCTCCATATTTCTTCTTTTTCATAGAATTTCTGTTCCATAATTCGTCTGAAACTTTAATGAGATGAAATTTAACAGAACTGAATGTATCCTTGTGCAAAAATATGAATTTGCATTTAGCATCCCAGACTATGATAGATTTGCAACCCTAATATCATGGAACGAATACTAAAAACCTGATAATGTACGAAGATGTTGTGAGGTTCACATAAGAACAATGTTGATGTCTGGGATTCACCCTGGTTCCCATGTATCTTCAACTCCTTTCCTTTGCCTTTATTCGTGCTCTATGTTTTTTTATGTTGTCATTTGTTTGGTGCCGAGGTCCTTTTCTGTGGACTTGCTGCCTGTAAAATAATAAATATATGTGTTTGTTCTTACCTTCAACTCCTTTGTTCTCCTTTGACAGCTATGTTGGAATCAAGCAATTGGTGTTTGGTGGATCTGAATTTGAGAATTGGAAGGAGAACCTAACCTCTGAGTATCCAGGTTACAGTGTCCACAAGATTTAGCATCTGCAAGTGCTTTTACTTTTGTTCAATGTTTTAAGAAAATATATTTGTGTTAAAATGTATTTTCTTTTTAATATGTGTGTTAAAATATTTCAATTTTATAGTTGTGTGTTAAAATGTTTCAATTGTATAGTTTTTAATTTAGTTTTATAATTACTGCAGGTTGCGATTTTATTTCAGATTTTTGTAATTTTAATTGAATTTATGTTATTTGAATTTTACTAAAGTCGTGTCAAATGATCCATTTACTACAATAATATAAAGCAAAGGTGATTTTAAACTTGATAAAGGATGGGAAGAATAAATGAGATGAGATATATTCAATTATGGTTTTGGAGAAAAAAACGAAGAAGAGGGTTAATTATAAGTATTATAGAATGAAAAAAAAATGAGAAATTCTTTAATATACAAAAAGTCATGGAACAATTAACTTTAAAATAATCTAAAATAGCAATACGAAAACATGATTAATAATGTTAACATGTAAAATTTAAAATAAAAAATAGTTTCTTAAATTTAAGAGAGAAATATATTCTAACTCTCAAAGCCTTATATTTTTATTTAACCCAAAAAAAAAAAATTATAGTTAATTTTTTTATTATTATTTAAAAAGACTCAAAAGTGTTTCGTAGGCTTATGCATTGTTTGAAAGAATTGAACCGTTTTAATAACAGAATGGTAGCAAAACGCAGAGAGAAGGGGAAAAAATCAGTTGGAAGAGGAGCATATTATAACTTAGTTTTTCTAATTTTGCAAAATGAATGAAATATTTTTTTTATTTTAAAAAATAATGAATTAGTTTCTTAAATAGAGTTGATCATAATTAGCTTAATATTATTTGATTTCAAAAGAATATCTTTTTTTTCTAATCAATTCCACCGTTTTTTTTTTACTTTTTAAAATTGAAAATTTTTAAGTTATAGATAAATTTTTATAATATAAACTCTAATTAAATATTTTTAAATTAAAAAAATATTTAATTCATTTGAAAAACAACTAAAGGGGCTAATTTATAATTTACAAATTACTCTTTGCAAGACTGATATCTCATCATTGGTGGTCAAAATAAACTATTTCGTAAAAATGATGGCTGCCACGTACTCTCATATTGTTCATGAGGACTCGAGTGACAAGAAACCATGACAAGAAAAACACATGCTTGTGTGATTTCCAATGGCCTCCGAATCCCCACACTTTTTGTGTTGAAAGTGGACCTAGCTCCTATAATTAGCCAGCTTTTTATGCCATAGCCACAGCCAGACGACTCACTTAACAAGTGTCTGGCTGGGATCTTGAACCCTATATGGTTCAGACTACACGATGGGGTTTTGGTTCCAATTTGGTTAATTTTTCATGTCAAGTTATCGTTGCCTTTTCAAAAGCAAAAGATGACACGGCATGGTGCTCTTTTCACGTGAAGAAAGATAGACAATGATCCTCACTTGTCAATTGTCTATCTCCACCCTACTCATATTGAAATGCGAGTTTAATTTAATTTTCTTGCATGTTGTGGACTCCAAAAAAAAAAAAAAAAACCTTTACTAATTGAACTATTCTTAATCCTTTTTCCAAAGAAATGCTTCTTAAGAAAATACGCACAATCTGAAACCTAATTACCCATTCAAGTCTCAGTAGAATTACAAATCTCATCACTACTTTAAATAAAAAAATTTAGAAAAAAAAAACCCTTAATGAAAAATCTTCTACAAATTAAGTCTAGCTAAGAAGCACACCACATACAGGTGGCAGTGGCAATCAGAAGATAGGCATGCATAAACTTTACTTTTTAGACTGTGTTTGTTTGGAAAAAAATAAAGTTTAAAAACTTGTTTTTCTCAATTTTTTTCTATTTTTTAATATTTATTTCGTTTTTAGAAAAAAAATAAAAAAAAACGATTTTCAATCAACAGAAAAATATGGATTACTTTTGGAAAAGTGTTTTCCAAGTTATAAAAAAGAGAAAAACATTTTTAACTATGTTAATAATTTTACTTACTTTTTTTGATATATTTTAATAATTTTTTCTCTATCTCTTTTTTATTTAAAATATATCAAATTAATTTTTAATTATTTCTTATTAATTATTTAATTTTTTTCTCTATTTCTACTAACATTTGATTTTTTGATTTATAACTGTGTTAAACATTCTTAAAAGTCATTTTTACACCTTAAAATTATTTTTATAATAAATATTTTAATAATTTATTTCTATTTTTTATTATCATCTTAAACACCTTCTAAACTATACTTAAATGATTGAAAATGATTATTACAAGACTACAATCATTTGTGAAACAATTGAAACTAATTAATTCATTAATAAATATATTATTTTCTCAACATTATACATTTGTAACTAAATCAATAATTTGTGGCTAATTTTAATCGATTGTAAAATTTTGTTGGTGATTGTAGTAAATAATTAGTTACAAATTATTCCAACATTAATCTTTTGAAACCAAATGAATAATTATCTACAAATGATAACTAATAATTTGTAAAAATAATTTTTAGACTAAATTATCAATTCAATCTTCAAAAAAGAAAATTATTTTAGTTTTCTCGTATTAAATAAACACTCGAAATATATTTTTCAGCATTTTTTCATGTAATTGCCAAACGTCAAAAAATATTTTTTTGAAAAATAATTTTATGAAAAATAACTTTTCCAGAATTGACTTTCTTATGAAACTTGTTTTCTACTAAACAAACGGAGCCTTAGTGACGACAATGGACATATATCTATCTCATTAATTAAATTTTTTATCCTATTCGGTAAAAGAATACGCTACCCATTATTCATTAAAAAATTATTATATAGATCTTTACCTATTTCATACTCGGTTCATTCTAGTTTACGTGTCCTCTTAGTACCTATTCAATGCCCGCTAAATATAATTTGTCAAAAATATTCATTTTAGTCTCCGTAATTTTTAAGTAAATGTTTTTTTATCCTTAAAATTTATTATTTATTTATAAGTTTTTTTGGTTCTCGAAGTTTTTGAAAAACAAATTTGGTTCTTAATTTTAAAATTTTATACAATTTAGATTACTATATATTTATAAAAAAAATCTAAATAAATTAATGAGTATTCATATCCCGAAACCATATCAATGGATATATATTTTTTATTTTTATTTATTCAATATCCATTAAATATTCTTAATAGATATTTATTATATCATATACCTGACCTATTTTTATTCCCATCTATGTCGTAAAAAAAGCCTTTCCGAATCATAAATTCGTTAGACTTTTGTTTTCTTTTTGTGAAAAAGTTTCATTCATCGAAACTAAATACACTTACAAGCCCACTACAATGAAGTTACATTTTATTTAAGGAGGTAAAAGGGTTGAAAAGACTAGTCTCGACATAATTTATAAATTACTAAGCACAAACCTAGCTAGCTGGATCTAGGCAATTTTTTGGGTGTCTTTTGCTAATAACGAACGGATTGACGTGGATAGGAATAAAAATATATTTCATTTTAGTCTCAAGATGTTTAATTGAAATAAAATGGATAAGAATATTTACGTCCAAAATCCTCTTATTTCTATTTATTATATATATAGATGAAAAGTCAACATTATCAGCGTACCAATATTTGCATAAGCTAAGTAAGTGTTTTTTTTATCACACACACATAAAAAATAAAAATAAAAATTCAGGGATCCTTTTAGTATTATTTCCTGTTTTTTTTTTAAATAAAAAACTATTTCATATCTATTCTTAATAGATTTTTGAACCCTAATTATTTTGTGCAACAAAAACATATGAAAGAAAAATTCTTATGCAAACTTAATTTAATAAATATAATAATATATTATTAATTAATAAATATATAACTAATACTATTATATAATTTAATTATACCGATAAAATAATACATCCTGATGACAACATGTCAATGACAATATAATAATGATTGATATGATATTATTAATGATGACATGGATTATAATAAAAAAATTTATAATAATTATTTTTTTATTAGTAGATAACAATAATATATAATTGTATTGTTAAAAGGAACGCAGTGATAAAGAGGTGACGATAAAAACTATAATTACGGTGACTGTAAGAATAACAATGGAGGAGACCATCAGGGTAATAAAAGTGGGATTGGCATTGATGGAAGTGCGAAGTCTATGTATCCAAAATACCAAATTTAGGGGATAAGGCAAAAAAGAACAATGACCTTCCTCATGCGTCAATTTCTTATGCTCGGATAAAAGAACCTATACAAAAATTGAGCATGGGGTCCATACAAACTTGTCAAAAATTGTAATTTTTGGAGTTTTTATGGTTATTTATATCGACTTTTTCTTTTTATCTATATTTTCTAATGATTCTCGATTTTCATTTTAGATACAAATTCAAATAATTCCTTATTCTAATAAAAATGAATGAATTATTTAATTTGAATTATCATGAAAAAAATATAAAATACGGTATGATATAATAAATATTATATGGGTGTTTTAGCCCATCTCGGTCTAGTCATGCCCACTATTAAGTACACAAAATTTATCTTTTTTTGTTTATATTTTCCTTCTCGTCTTCACAGCAAAACTGAAAAAGGCAAAGTTACCCGTGGAGTCCATATGAAATAATTAAAAAAAAAAACTAAAGTAAAATGATGGGTTAATATTTACTGTTTATTTATACTCATTCGTATTATTTATTAAAATTCAGATACATTATTCATTTTACTATATAGTGATATTTTTATAGTTTTTAAATATTTTTAAAATATTTATTATAAAATTTTTTATAACATTATATTTTAATCCTTCTTTTTAAATTTTTTAATTAAATTCATTTAATTCTATAATTTTTTAATTAAAATTTTAGATTCCAAGAATTCCTTTTTCACGATTTTTTTTTTCAGAAAAAGGTACAACTCGGGTATTATGTACTGCTCCAAAAGAGCCGGTGGTCCCTCAATCCTAGGAACCCCACATAGAAATCATTCACTGACACGGGTCAGTCACATCAAGATAACTTCTCCATTGAATGGGCCATAGCCGGTAGCCCAGCCCCTAGACAATTTCTGGATTCCTGTGTCTAATCCTACAGTTGTTGGTTTAGGGTGACTTAGGTTATTTCTGGTGTTGCAGAGAAAGAACGAAAGATGGCAGGGGTTGGCGTTGGGGTTACCCTAGAAGAGCTCAAGAAGAAAATGGCTGACTTTGCAAAAGAAAGAGATTGGGATCAATTTCATAGTCCTAGAAATCTCCTTTTGGCCCTGGTAAGTTGCTCCTTTTTTTCCAACCCTAACTATAATGTAGAAAAGTATACACCTTATATATTGATGTACTCTTCTCAAATGCTATGTTTTGGAGTGTCAGATTTTTCAGTAGTCCCATCAGAACTTGACGAACCCCATTTCTTGTTTCTCTTTTACGAAACTTTATGTATGTGTTCAGGTTTAATAATATGTGCAAAATATGCTTAATTTTTTCAAGTTTTATATTACTATTATTAATCTTTGGCTTTTGATTCTTTTATTCACGTTTTCTCATTTCTCTGTTTGGTCAAGTCTTATGATTTGGTTCCTTTAAAATATTAAAGAATTGACAGGAAAACACACAAGATCACTGAATCTCTCTCTCTCTCTCTTTTAAGCAAAGGAAAAAAAAAAAACCGAAGCTTTTTGACCAGTTGTTTATGTTTGTTTTCTGTTTCTTCCCCTTTCTAAAGTGTCTGAAATATATATAATTCGAACTTTTTTTTTTTTTTTGATTTCTTACTTAAGTTTAAAACCCAACTGTTTAATCTCCTTGTTTTACTCATTGATGGTGCTCTGGACTTTTAGCTGGAAAGTTGCACTCCTTCCTTGTCTACTTTTTAGTTATGCTCTTTGGATGATTTCTCAGATCCAAGTCAGGCTAAATAGCTTTTTTATTTAATTTCTTGTTTGCCCTTTTTGTGTTTTGCTCTTTGAGTGGTTTCTTATATGTGAATTTTGTAAAATTGATGAAGTTGGTCCTCGAAAAGCTAGAACATCGATTCCCACCAGTTGAAACCGCATGTTTTTCCTTAACAGAAATATAAGACAATCGAAGAGCCATTTCTGGGCTAGATAATTCATAGTTAAATACTAAAAACAAGAATGTTCTTATGTTTCAGAACAAGACCCCCACATTATTTGATGATACCACAGTGCTTATGTCAAGAGACTATAATAATAACGGTACTGGAGGTTTCTTTGTCATTGTTTTCGATTCAGTATTCTGCTGTGATTATATTTTTTTTCGTTGTTTTCTATCGCTGTGTTTCAGGTGGGAGAAGTAGGAGAATTATCTGAGATATTTCAGTGGAAAGGAGAGGTACCAAGAGGGCTCCCTGATTGGAAAGAAGAGGAGAAAGAGCACCTCGGAGAGGAGCTATCGGATGTGTTATTGTACCTTGTTAGGCTCGCTGATGTATGTGGTGTTGATCTTGGTAAAGCTGCCATGAGAAAGCTGGAGATCAATGCCATCAAGTACCCGGTTAAGCTTTGTAAGGGCTCCTCAAAAAAGCACACGCAAATGAATGCTGACAACAACAACAACAACAACAACAATGCTAGTGGTGATGGTGTCACAGGGAGCATTTATAGCGACCGCGGCACAGGGAACAGTAATGGTGTTTGATATTCTGAGATTACGTTGCTTTTGACCTTGGTTGTGGGCCTCCCATCGTAGGTTTAGAATAAAAATATAGTACTAGTCTTTTTTCTTTTTTTGTATTGGATGTTATTATGTAGTAGGGCATTGAGCTAGAACTATTATATAGTCTTTTCACTAGGGTCTAAGTACTGGTATTGGATATTTGTACATTCTTTATGCTTCTTCCTGTCTTTCTCACCGATGTATTCGGTAGAGTAATTGGATGTTGATGTTGATACTGATGTCCAGAGTGAGTGAATAGGGTTTTGCTTTGCATGAGGGAAGTATGGGTTGGTGTCATCAGAGATTTGGGTTCTGACTTCACCAGGCGGCGGCCATTTAACTGAGATATCGTATCTCATCGATTATTTTTTGTTATATTTTGGGCTTGAAATAAAGGAAAATATGGTCTTGGTTCCTAGATACACTCGTCAACTTTTGCTTCTCTCAATCAATATTTATCGATTTAATTAGGCGAAACTCGGATAGCATCGTGTGTAGTTGCGTTCATTTCCTGCTATGAAGGTCGAACTTTCTTCCAAGAAACAAAAACAAATAAGAAGAGACTCTAGAGAGAATAAACTAGAAGAGAGATTCTCTCTTGCTTACACTCTTGTTGAAGGCTGCTCCTATGAAATGGGTAAGAATCCTTAATTTGTATTTTCGGTGCATTAGAATGTGGTATGTTTGTAACCATTTTTCTAAGGTGGCATTTGGTGCTGGAGGAATGTAGGATTTCAAGATATTGGAACATGGTGGAGGTGGAGTATTCAAGGATTCTTTGTTCGTTTTGGAATTCCATGCCTGGCCAAAACGTGATATTCACAAACATCTTTGCTTGATTCATGTTGGGGAGAATAGAAAAGGACCATAACTATGTCTATCTGCCTATATTTTTTGGCTCAAATTGTGAGATTGGTGTTTTTTTTTTTTTTTTTGAATAAAAAGCTCAATCAAGCTTAGTTTGGTTGAACAGCAATGCTGGCTATGGGTTTCACGGGAGTTTTATGCTAAAAAAAATTAAATGCTGGCTTTTTGGAGAGGTTCTGTTTTGGAATATTTCTAACTTTTTTTCCCCCCTTACCAAGCAACAGCTGTGCCCTTTTACAGCTCTTTTTCTTTCTCTGGCTGTACCACTATAGCTACAACCATAGTTAAATTACAGAAGCTGCCAGAGCTACATTTCAATCGGTAACTCAAAATAACCAGGAGAGTGGATACGCAGAAATACTACTACGAGAATTTAATGGAATTTTGAAATCGAAGAGTTGCATACATATTTTTTAAAAAAAATTTCAATCTGTCTTTATTAAAAAAAGGCCTTTAATCTATCATTATATTCTAAGATGGTTTTTAATCTATATTTTTAGTTAAAATTTTCAGCCAAGATGGTTTTTAATTTATCTTTTTAGTTAAAATTTTCAATCAAGTTAAACATGTAATTTACACATGATATGTGATTTGACAAAATTATCTTTATTATTTAGTATAAGTAATTTGTATTAACTAATATAAAAATTAATTTTAAAAAATTTGTTAGAGATTTTGATTAAAAGATAGATTAGAAAACAATTCAAAATACAAAGATAAATTAAATACGTTTTTTAATAATAATTAAAAAATTGACTTATTATATAATTACATATGCGAGTACTAATTCTATTTTTTTTAATGCAAGTAACAACTTAGTTATGGAAAAGGCAAATACCAGCAGATGCAATCATGAGGTAGTAAACTACTCAAATTTAAATCCGTTAAATTGATATATGTACACGCACTTTACTCGAATAAGAAAATTGAAACCATTTTTTTAGATTGTAAATAGAAATTAAAAACAAATAGGAGAAATGTATATAAATAAGATTTTTTTATTAAAATAATCAATACAAATAGATTTTTTTAAAAAAATATTAATACAAAATTGACGTAGCAAGCAATCACAATGTATGTTAATATTTCTTTTTACATAACTGAAGATATGATTGTATGACTATGTTGTTAGATTCTATAATTATGCATAAATTTTGCCCAAAATCTTAGAATTTTATAATTTTCACATACCAAACAAAGTTAAGAGAGAACATACATTGATCCATGATAAATTTTGAAGAGATTAATCACTCACAAGAAAAATCTTTTATAAAAAACTATTAACCACAAGAAAAGACTTTTGATTTAACGATCCATAATTCAAAAGTCATCTTAATTTAATACTTCATAATTCAAAAAATTTTTAATTTAATGCTCCATAATTCAAGAAATTTTTAATGCTCCTATCAACGTGATTTTTTTTCATTTATATCTACTCAAGTGACCCATAGAATTTTAGCATTTAATTTATTAAACCATTTTTAATTAAACCATTAAAAACATGGGACACTTTAAAAAAAAAAAAATCTAACATTTCTCATTTGACCCATGTGACATTATCATGATGCAACAAAACATAATATGCATAAGGATCACAATGGTTGTATGCCACTTATTCACCATACTTCCTTCTATGTATCACGATATTAGTTGAAAACTTAACATAATCTGTAATGAGATAGCTATAATGGTCCAATAATAATGTCTTTGTCAAAGACAATCTATTAATATTCATATAATTCATCTATGTATATATGCCAACAATAAATAATAGGATATTTAAATATCGAAACAATACTTAAATGAGCTCGAGTGCCAAATATATAAAATACACAAAATAATAACATTGTCATTAACGTATGGTACCCAATAATTCTCCTTTTGACATGTTCGTTAAATGTCCTTGGCATTAAAGGATCCGCAATCATAAGATTGGTGCTAATGTATTCGATTGATATTCGTTGTTTTTGAACTTCTTTTTTAACGAGAAAATTATTTGATTTTCATGTGTTTAGCATCTTTTGAATACTTATCGTTTCTTAATGGAAGATTGTTGCGGCATTATCACAATAAATTTTTAGTGGCTTGACAATAATGTCGACAATTTCATGTCTTAAAATAAAGTTCTACAACTTAAAATAAAATTCTACAATGGTCTCAAAGCATGCCACAAAATCAACTTACGTAGTGCGACGAATGACATACTGCTTTTAACTATTCCATGAGATTGCTCCTCCACCTAAAAGAGACAAATAGCCAAGTGTGGAATTTTTTTTTTTTTTTTTTTTGTATCAACACATTTAGCATAATCGAATCGATTATCTAATCATCTCGAGATGATCAAATCTCTTATAAGTGAGCATATGATCTTTTGTTCCTTGCAAATATCTTAATTTTTTTTTATAGCTCGATACAAGAATATCTTCCTCCCATTTGGCTGAAAGTTTGGCTCTTCTATGTGGCTAAAACTTTTAGCCCCTATCCTATCTATTTCGTTGTTTTTTATTTATTTGGGTTGGATTTATTTTTAATTGTGCGGACTTGAGCTAATCAATTAGTTCTCATAGTATTTCAAGTTTCCTACTTAAATTAGGACATGGTCGAATGTGGCTTAGATGGATGATTAATTCTTGTGTGTTGTGGATCCTTATTTATTATTAATCCATGTAATATGTGGATCCATATTTAATTGGGCTGAATTAATTAGGTCTTAATTGAATATGGATGGCATAAGTCTAAGTCTAAGTCTAGTTAGGAAAAAAAATTCTATTTAGGAAAAAATTTCTATTTAGAAAAATCATCACAATCGACCAAGGAAGAGAAAGCTCAATCCTAACCGATTTTTTAGGTCTTTGTGTGAGTATTTAAACAAACTTTATGCTTTTTTTCGGTAGATTTTGATTAAAAATTTGAATGAAAAATTAAGAGTTTTCTTTGCAACTTCTTTCATATCTCCTTTGCTTAGATTGGTTAGCACATCATGAATACATCCTTAAAGTAATCAATTAAGGTGGGCTTAGATCAATAATTGTGTCGGATGGACTCTTGGAGAACGTATCTTATAAGGATTTTCTAAATTATCTTGAGTGGAGGATTTTTTTCATGGGTGAAACAGCGGAACTTGCTTTTATTTTTATGTTTGCTTGATAAATTATGTGTTAATCTAGATTCTAAGACTCGAATAGATTTGGTCTCAAATCTAATAACCAAGGATAGAAATTCTTGTTTTATCCGAAATTTTGACAATCATTAGTGAAGGGGATGATTTGGATCTTGTAAAAAAAATTAGAAAATTTAAAAAAATATTTGAGTGGGTTTTAGATTGTCAAAATTTTTGTAAATTTTGGAACCTATTATGTCCAAAATTTCAACTTGTTGAATAATAGGCTATAAGGCTTAGATTGGCCTAAATTTTGGTACACACATACCTATAGATATTATCTATTTTGTGTTTAAATTTTAGTTAAATTTGAGTTGATTTTCTCCTCCCTTAGTTTTGGATTTTAAAAATTACGATTTGATGAGGTGGGTTTTGTTTGTGTTTATGTTAAGGAGTTAGTTGATTGAGTTTTAGCCTTTAATTATGTGTTTTCTAAGGCTTATTTAGAGTGTAATTGAGACTGGTTTATAACTATGGTGTTTAGACCTAGGACTATTTGTTTGTTGCTTGTGTGTTTGAGCTTTTACGGGGTTTGGCATCTCTCGATTCGGTATTAGTTTGGTATCAAAGTTGAGATTTGCTTCCTTTGTATATTTAGAAGATTTTAGAGATGGTTGTTATAGGAGCATTGAGTATGGACATGGCTGCCAAAGAAGATTGGGTAAGGCATAATATTTTTCACATTCATTGCACATCACTCGGCAAGGTGTGTGAATTAATTATCGATGGAGATAGTTGCGAGAATGTGGTGTCTTCTCGAATGGTGGTGAAGTTGATCTCGAAAATGATTGATCATCTTAATCCTTACTCATTGACTTGCTTATGAAAAGGGAATGATATATGTGATCGAAGCGGTGTTTAGTGCCATTCTCCATTGGTAAGACATATATTGATAACATTTGGTATGATGTTGTATCGATGGATGCTTGCCATTTGTTATTAGGAAGACCTTGGAAATATAATCATAGGGTCATGAATGATGGCTTTTGAAATACTTATGCTTTTACCTTCGATGGAGTAATAATTTTGTTGTTGCCAATAAGGAGAAAAATTTCAACTACTTATGTTAATGAGCAAGAGAAGGTTGTTACTAAATCTATGCTCATGAAGGGTAGAGTAGATGAAATTAACAAAGAAAATTTCCAGTAACAAGATAAGAGTGAAAACACTTATGCTTTTACCTTCGATGGAGTGAAAATTTTATTGTTGCTAATGAGGAGAAAAGTTCCGACTACTTGTGTTAATGAGCGAGGAGGAGGTTGTTAGTAAATCTATGCTCATGAAGGGTGGAGTAGATGAAATTTAAAAAGAAAAATTCTAGCAATAACATGAGAGTTTTGAAGCTGAAATTTTCTTAGGAGACGGTGTCGAAGAAAATTTTAGAGAAGCTAACCTTGTTGGTGATAAAAACATCCAAAATTCTAATGAAAGACTTAAAGACTCTGCTGACTTTAACAATGCCATAGACACTAAAACTTTCGACAATGAAGTTGAAGATGTTGTTGCCACTAAAGAGTTAACGAGAGGATGATGATCATAGCGAGTCATGAAATTGATTTAGAGGAGCATAGGACTACTTGGAAAATTATTTAAAACTTTCTTACACTCTATTAATGTTTGATCACAAAAGAGTATTGTTAATATTCAATCACAAAAGTTTGTAATATATATATATATATATATATATATATATATATATATATATATATATATATATTTGAATAATTCATTTTGTTGAAAGTTAACTATGTATCACACACATAACATCAATTATTTATTCTTTATTCTTTTTCATGTTCTAAAATCAATATTTTTCATATAAAATAATTGAAATAATATTTTGAAAAAACCTTCCAATTATTGAAATATAGCTTTTTATGTGAATTTTATTAATTATTTTGTTAATAAATATATATAAATCAAACGAGTTTCACTTAACAAATAGACTTGATTTACATTAATCATCAAAAATAAGACTTCTACCCACATTATGCTATACAAATTATTGATCCTGCACACGTAATGGTTATCCGACTATAACGTAACACATGTATTCAACTAGTTATTACTATTTCTACTACCACTATTTTTATTCGTTAATTTTATTTATTTTTAATACAGCAAAACAATAAAAAAATAATTTAATTTAATTTATTGAAATTGTTCGAAACGAGAACTATAAAATTTAATTTAACCATACTGACTTAAAATTCATATAATAACAACTTACTTATAACTAGACCAATAGTTTGTTAGTTGTGTGTTTGTTTTTTATTATTAACGAAACCATCTTGTCCTTGTGCATTGCAACATAATGTAAAATAACAAATTAAAAAAAAAAACTAAAACAACCGAGGATGTGACTATTCATTGACTGGTCATTGTGACTCATTAATACTATTCAAAGGTATTGTTGTAATTTTGGTTTTTTTCGATGGTATTTTGTTAAATTCTTTATTTTGATCTCGGCCATCCATCTAAAACCCTAACAATCATAATTATTGGATCGTGATATATAAATTCATTTTAATCTCAATCCGATTAGGCCTCCATCTTCATCATTTGGCCTCTTTTTTTAATTTCACTCTTTTACACAAGTAGAGATCTACCATCACAAGAAAATCTTAGTTTCTTCTCTCATAAACATTTTCTCTCTCATCTCATCTATTATTTTTCATTTCTTTTGGCCAAAACAAAACATTTCTTCCTCTTATCTCATCTATCTTTTTCTATTTCTCTTGGTAAAAAAAAACCATTTAATACTATCCGTATTTTTGTTCATGAATCACTTTACTCTTTTTCGGTTAATAGGAGTTTTTCTATTTTTATTGTTGTTCTATTTAATCCGTGATGTCTCTAATCCCTAGCTATTGTTATTTGCGGATCTTTCTATGAAGTGAAAAATTGAGAAACATAGGGAGAAAGTGCTTCGTTGTGATAATGTGCTTGCAAAAAAATCGCTTTATTCAAGCGGTGCCATCTTCTACACCTGAAGAAATGCAAGAAGAAGAATAAGAATAAGAAAGATTCTAAAGTAAAAGATTCCACTCAAGATGGTTCCAAGGTGAGCGGATGCTTGGTATATAATGATTATGATTTTATGATGTTCGGGATAGTGTGGGATTGATGTGTTTGTATTTATTATTCTAGAATGGTGCTTGCTTCGGGTTCTTGGATGGCTGATATATGGGAAAACGAATGTAATTTGTACTTGACCTAGTCTTTTTATTTTCCTAGATTCCTGTCGGTTCGGCATTAGGAAATAAGGAGTTTTGTGTTTGATTCCTTCTCACGCTCTTGCGAGTGAATGGGATGACATAGCTAGAAAGGTACATGTGTTTTTTATGATTAAACTTCCTTTGTGATCTACTTTTATGCATGTTAAGTTACCATTTACCACACGTTTTCTCCGAAATAATGATGTGGAAATAAATGAGCGTTACATGGTGCTTCATTGTGTATATGAAAAGTATTTACGAATTTGATATAAGTGGATCCCATTTTGCTCAACGATAATATAGAATCACATATATTTAACCTAGCAATCCGAATAATAATGTCCATCCTTGGATGTTTACTAGCTCTATTATTACCTTATTAATTAACATTGAGTACGGATTTTTTCAAGCCATTTAAAAAATAAAACAAACCTAGGTCGTAGATTGATGATGTTTTCGGCATATTCAAAACTTAATTTATTTTGTGGAATTAATTATCTATTTGTTTAACACTGCCTCTTTATTCTTTGATTTGCTTAATTTCATGAAGTTGGCCCTTTTTTTTTTTTACAAGATTAAATTTTCATTCACAAGTCATGGGTCAAGCTTAAATTCATTATTAAGTTCTTTGTCTATTTCAATATAAAGTTTTATATTAACCATGGATCCACACATTTTCTCCGAAATAATGATGTGGAAAGGAATGAGTGTTACATGTTGCTTCATTGTATACATGAAAAGTATCTATGAATTTGATACAAGTGGATCTCATTTTGCTCCATAGTAATATAGAATCACATGTATTTAACCTAGCAACTTCGAATAATAATGCCCATCCTTGGATGTTTACTTGGTTTTATTATTACCTTATTAATCAACATTGAGTATGGATTTCTTCAAGCCATTTAAAAAATAAAACAAACCAGGTCATAGGTTGATGAGTGTTTTCGGTATATTCAAAACTTAATTTATTTTGTGGAATTAATTACACTGTCTGTTTAAGCTACCCCTTTATTCTTTGATTTGCTTAATTTCATCAAGTTGGCCTCCTTTTTTTTCTTTACGGGATTAAATTTTCATTCACAGGTCATGGGTCAAGCTTAAATTCATTATTAATTTCTTTGTCTATTTCAATATAAAGTTTTATATTAACCATGGATCAACCTTTACATGGCTACATAGGTGACAGATTTTTTTTGTATATATAATATGAAATGCACTTGAAATTTTTTTGAAGTTTTAATTAATCTTCAATCGAATTACAAATTTCTCAAATTACTACCCTAAATTTCAAAGAATATTTCCATTAGTCTTTATGTTAGGAAACCATCCGAATTCTTAAGGATAGAAGGTCCTATGACCATGTGACTTGACCTTAATTCGTTATGCATGATTATTTAGGAATTTGAATGATTCTCTAAAATTCGAATCAATTGATTTTTTTTTCAAATTCAAATACGGAGTTTTAGAAATTTTTAGTTTTTCAAAATTCGATTACAATTTTTGTGGCTTTCCGGACGAAATGAAGTAAATTTTCGTATGAAAATTTTTGTTAGAACAAATAAAGTCTATTACAATACGATGAAACCAAATAAGTAACGGTTTTTGTTTAAAAGAATCAATTAGAGCTTGACCATTTCTGTCCTCTCTCAATTGATTTCGGCAATATTTGTTTTTTACAATCGGATAAGTTTTTTTCTTTGGACACTTGCTCATTGTGCTTATTTTATCTATCTCTCCTTTGAACTTTCTTTCACTAATGGGTCAATTGAAATTATTATTTTTCTCTACTTCGTAAGTGGTCGTTGTTTAATTTTTTTTTCCTTTGATTGTCATAGTTAGTTTTAGTTTTGCCTTTCTTTATAATGAATTTTGCTAATTTTTTAATCATTTTTTTCTTATTTATGTGCTTAGACTATTGATGTCTTGGAGAACAATGGGTTTTATTGTTATTTTACAATATATATATATATATATATATATATATATATATATGACATTTTTTTTTAATGTCCTCTTCCTTTTTTTTTTCAATGTTTCTTATTTATATGTTTAGGCTATTTGCTTGGATAGTGGTCGGTTATGTTATGATTTCACAAAAATATGTGAGGTTTTTTTCATGTCCTTTCCCTCATTTTTTCTCTTTTTAGGTTTATTATTAAGACAAATTTATAGATAGCTTGCCAATTTTATTCATTTTTTTCGTCGTTGCCTTCAATGACATAGAATCAATAAAAAAGCTTTATTGTTTTAAGGAAGATTTTATCATTTTATAGTTTCATAGGTTTTATCCAACTCCAACTTCTTCTCTATCAAATTGTACCAATCACCTTACTCTTTTCAAATATGTAATGCATCTTACTTTTAAAAGTGATGTAAGCCGAGTTTGTGTAATGTAATACTTGTTAAAATTGAAAGTTGCCATCAATTGAGGTTTGGTATGAGATATGAAGCATGCTTTAAAAAAATCATGTTGACAATTTTACTTCATCGCTCGAAAAAGGTTGCTTATACATATTATTAAAAACTTCAAGTTGATGCATAACATAAGACTTTTTTTAATTGTCTTTGATAATTTAAAAATACTATTTACGCTCACAATTTAAATAAATAAAAAACGAAGATGAAGTGGTATTATGTTTAACATGATGATTATAGATTGCATTAATTGTGTTAAAAAAAAAAAAAAAAAAACCTTACCACTTGCGGATGTGATAACATAAAACTTTGAGTATGGAGAGTTCGAATATGAAGAAAGCTATGAGAAATAAAAAAGGACTATACCAATGTTTTTTATGTGTTGAACCAAATGACAAAATTTTTACAAATAATTTTGTTCATATATATAACTGCACTTCTATATGTTAGACACATTTAAAAATTCTTTATTATTTTTCTCAATAAATGAATCCTATTTTCTTTTAATGATTTCATCTGTTCAGCACAATTAGACTCGTCTCGTAGCGTAGCGCGAGTAATTAGCAAGTAATGAACGAAAATAGTTGAAATCTATTTATTGTAAACTATAAAAGAAAGAAATTATTGAAAATTGCACAAAGATGTGAGCATTCCGTATTATTTATAATAAACTGACCTAATTTTAAGCTATGTCCATGAGTTTTGCACAAACCAATCTTTAGTTGATTATTTATACACCACATAAAATCCTAAATAATATAATTAAACTATTTAAATCACTCATAAACTATTTAGTACTATATCACTAATTTATTTTGACTATCGAAACTCTACCAATTGAAAAAAAAACATAAAATTATTAAAATCTATAAATAATTAATTTACACAAAGTTGATCAATTTATTAAATAGAATCTTTAGTTGATTTTTTTTACAGGCTATTTTGGTTATTTTTTATTCATTTGGACAAAAATTAATAATATTAAAAAAGAAAATATTTTAAAAAATGATTTATAAATTTTTCTTCACGTATAATAGAAAAAGAACTATTTAAATTTAAAACAGTTCATTGTAATACAATGCTAGGTGAAAAGTTTTTAATTATTATTTTTTTAAGTGCTATATATATTTATCTTAACTCTTAATTATTAACTTTTGAGAGGCAATTCAATTTTTTGTCCTAAAATTTTACTTAAGCGCAGTTGGTTCAAAATTTAGAAAAATTAAATTAATTATAATTATCAAATTTAATATAATATTATTTAAAAATATAAAATGTTTATTTAATAAAAATTTGATTTTATTCATTTATAAATAACTTTAAACAATCCATTATAGAAAATTTACCATAAATTAATTAGTCAGATGATGCAGGTGTAAGGAAAAAAAAAATTATGGTAAACGTAATCCCGCTGGTGTATCTAAATGGGCATGTAAACCCACAAGCTTGCTTGTAAATGTGACAAGGCTTGTCTCTAGTCTTCAAGGAAAGGCTAGTTCACATTATAGTGGGTTTAAACACAAATTTTACTTTCATTTTGTTGTGATTTAATAATTTTGGTCCTATAGTATTAAATCACATAATTTAAACTCTAAATTATTATAGATTGATTAAATATGATCTAAATTTAAACTCTAAATTATTATAGATTGATTAAATATGATCTAAATTATCTAATCTTTGTTATATGCAATGATAAACCTCGTTGATCCAAAGTATTGTAGATGAGTATTGTAGATTGAGTAAATATGATCTAAATTACCCAATCTTTGTTATATGCAATGATTATTGTAGATTGAGTAAATATGATTTAAATTATCTAATCTTTGTTATATGTAATGATAAACTCGGTTGATCGTTACTTAAAATATTAAAACGATATCGCTTTAAAAAAATATTTTTAACTTACTAATCTTGATTTTTTTAAAAAAAATTTATAAAATATTCTAAACATTTTATAATTTTATAGACCAACCCTTAATTATTCTTATTTTAATTTATAAAATATTTTTAAGGCCTAAATTTGTGTATTGTAAATTATGTTTTTTTACAATAGTATTCTATAATTTTTTAAAATCAAAATTAAAGGATTAAAAATATTTATAATTTTTTTAATTTATAATATTTCATGAGAAAAAAATTAAAAAAAAATCAAGATTAAGAGGATTATAAATATTTTAAAAAAAACATAATTAACAATAAAAACGAAATACCATAATTAACAACAAAAACGATTAAGTACAACTCCTGCAACACTGTTGATTCCGTGGACCTGCTATTCTGTTGGGCTGTAAATCTATCTCAACCGGCATAGGCTGCACCTTTCACTGCTTCTCGAGTCCATGTAGCTATTTTTCGAATTAAAAAATGTATTTTAGTATCTACTTATTTTTAATTTGACAGTTTATATCTAATGCATATGACCAAAATGAAAAAAAATAAAAATTCAAAGCAAAACAACTTTTAAAGACTTTTAAGGAACTTTGACGTATGTAGCTGCGATCACATACACACACACATTGACCAGATCCGGCCATTAGACATGAAGAAGCTAGCTTGGTCTAGCATCCATCTAATTAATTACAGGAGCGCAAGATATATATATATGATCCTTAATACTTTTATGGTCTTAAACTTTATATTAAGCTAGAGCTAGAATTACAAAGTATTTTACGACGCTTTATTTATTGATTTAAACAAAGACCCTGGGGACTGACTGGATGGGCATGCATTCGACCTCCCTCAGCGAAGTATTGAGCCCCTGGCCACCACCATTTGCCAGTGGATGTATCCCTTGATCAGGCCCTTTCATGTAAGCTCTGTTCTCGCTCTCCGTTGCAAAGGAAATCCCATAGCGCTTCTCAACATCTGCAATGTTATTTATTAATCACACCAAAAATCAATGAACCAGTACTGCTTATGTATAATCAAGAATATTAGGGGTGATGATCCCATATTGATAATTAATTACCATGTGCAAGTTCATCATAGAGCTGGCCATCTCTAGTCAAGGACATCATCATTTGGGGGAGGCCAAGAGGCAGATCATCACCCCTGTCAGTCTGCCAGAAGTGAAAGGTCTTGCCGTAAGTCTTGCACACTTTCTCAAGATCCTGCCTCTGTATAGGACCAGGGACTCCAGGCATGAACAGAACCCCACTTTTCACCTCGTATTCATGAGAGTGCCAAAGGGGCTTCTCCACGTCTGGCAGAGTCAGGAACAGAGTTTCGGAGATGATGTACTCCACTCCAATAAGCCGAGCATCTGATTCAGGGCTATTGTATATCAGGCATTGGCGCATTTCCTCGTTCTGGTGGCCACAAAAATGATGCGCCTCCACTTGCCGAGTCATGTCATGCGCATAAAAGTGAAATCTACAATAATATACAAACGTACGTCATTTGCTAATCAGAAAATTGCAAATTAGCAAAGAAGTTGTGGTGCACAAGAAGAGAGAGAGAAGAGAGGTTAGGAGGCTTACGCGCAGAGGTGTTGGTGGATTCTCTTAAGAGGACCAAAGCCTTGAATGGCAGCTGTGGCCGTCTCAAGGAGAGCCGTGCCGGTTGTAGTTGGCTCGCCGGGAACGTTTGGATGAGCTGACATTTTCTTCTCGATTTCCTGATCTATTTCTCAATTTGGATTGATCACTGGCAAATTTGAGCTTTAAATTCTGCATGCAGTGCGACTCGTGGCCGCATACCTGGCAGAAGTGGCTTTGTGGAAGTGCAACGTGGATGAAATCGTGGCTGCTGCTTCGAAATGGACGACACCTTACGAGATGAATTACCCAAATATTTGTACTCTCTCCTGTCGCATAAATGATTTTGTAATGAAATTCACATTTCTATAGATAATTTTTATTATGCAATCTATATTTATGTGGGAGAAAGAAATATATTTAATAATTTCTTAAGTAAGAATGCAAATAAATTGTTTTGGACTGACTTTTTTTTTTTTTATGTATCTGTGCACTGAATTATGTATGCTTACACACATAATCCACATAAAGTTGGACCTGATTGGATAAAGGATATTTTCCAATAGTTTAAGTAGATATCCATTGGATATGCTATTTAAACAGAATTTTTTTTAAAAAAATCTCTTAAATTTATATTGTAGCACCTTATAAAATTATATTTTAATAATATAGTATAAAGAATCTCACACATACTAAAAAGAATTAGTTGGATATTGGTGTTATATTATGGTCGGATAACCGTTCTATACGTAATGTCAATGTTTTATATAGTATAATGCGGATAAAAATTTTATTTCTCTTAATTAATGTGAATCAAATTTATTTATTGAGCAAAATCGATTGATTTATATATATTTATTAACAAAATAATTAACAATATTAGCATAAAAAGTTGTATTGGAATAATTGACGGAGTTCTTTCAAAGCATTATTTCAATTATTTTGTTTAAAAATATTGATTTTAGAACAAATAAAAAGAATAAATAATAAATAATTGGTGTTATATGTGTTGATACATAATTAATTCTTAACAAAACTAATGATATATATTTTGATTATTTTATTTAAAAAATATTAATTTTAGAACATAAAAAAAAAAATAACAAATAATTAGTTTTATGTATGCGGATACATAATTAATTTGTAACAAAACTAATGATATATATGTATGTGTGTATATCTATATGTGTGTGTACACACACACACACGTAAATGTATGTACGTATGTATTATGATCATACTTACTAGATTCGGAGTATATAGTATAAATAATTTTTTGTTAAAAAAAATCATTTATGTTGTATGAAATATATTAAAGTCAATAAATTGAAATAAAAACTACTACAAAATTAGTTCTTGTAGATTTTACTTTTTACTTTATGATGAAAGAAATTCTAGAATTGCAAATTAAATTATAAGTTAGTTCATCTCATTTTAAAAAATTAATTAATTAATTCTTTTGATTTTAAAAATAAATTATTTAGTTTTTTTAATTAGTTTTGACCATGAATAATTTATTTTTTTCAAAAAATGTTTTTTTTTCTTCATATTTTTACTTCTTAATTTATGATGAAAGAAATTCTTAAATTACAAATTAAATTATAAATTTCATATTTTAAAAACGTTTGTTGTTAAAAAAACAAGATTCATTTTTTTTTTCATTCATTCGTAAATAAAAACCTACAAAAATATAAATATAATGTTTTTAAAAATATCTTAATATTTTTTAGAAGACTGTATTAGAGATATATATCAACAATAAATATAAAAATTTGTATAAAAATTAACTAATGAATCTTTTAAAAGTATGTACATTTGATATATAGACACACAAAACAATCAATAATATTAGGTATAAAAACATGTATTTGAATTATTAAGTGGTTCTCTAAAAATATTATTTTATTTAAAATAAATTAAATTTAGAATATTAAAAATAATTAATAGGAAATAGTTGATGTTATATGTGATACATAATTAATTTTTAATAAAATTAATGATCTCAATATTTTTTTGTATAAATCATTACCATAATTTGTACACATAAAAAAAACATGTTTAAAAAAACTTAAGTTGTAAGGAATAGATTAAACTTAATAGAGTGCAATAAAAATATTTTAAAATTTATTCCAAAAAAAAAGATTGTATCAAGAATAAGATAAAGAAACATGTAAATTCTATTATTTATTAAAAAAACATATTAAAAATTTATACACGAGAGAAACATAAATTATATTTATTAACAAATCAAATTTCATAAAAAAATAAAAAATTAATTTGATCAAAATTTTTATAATAAATGACAAATTTAAGAGATTAATTTTAATCGATAAAAAATATAATATGATATATATGTTTGTTCTAAAATCTAAAAACATAAGAAACAAAAAGCAATTTTTAAAAATATGAGGAACAAAAAATATATTTTGAAAAAATGTGAGACAAAAATGGACTAAGTTAAAAAAGTGAGATGTCAAAACATTTTTAAAAATGAGGATTTAAAAATACATTTTGAAAACAAAAGGAAACAAAAAGAAATGAAGTGTAAAATTTGAAATTGAATGCCCAAAAAACCATTAAAATTACAAAAATACCATTGTATAAAATCATAAAATTACCACTCTAATGAATAGTGAAATGAGGCAAATGAACAGTATTTTATTGTTCATTTGTCCCAGTAATTTTAGTTTTTTACTTGATACTCAATAATAATAATTTGATCAAAATATCATTCTTAAGCAAAACTTTAATGTAAAAGATTTTTTTATTACAAATTGGTCACTATAAGATATATCTTAGAATTCTTTTATATAAATCAGCAATAGTTAATTTTGTGTGTATTATTTTAAAACACAAAATCTTTTCATATAAATAAATAGATTAGAATTTGCCTTGATAACCTTCAAGGTTATTTACAAATTATCATTCATATACGATAGTTTTTTTTTTTTTTTTTGTCATTTAGAAATTACATAAAACAACCGAGAAAATATCACGTATTCTTTAAATTTATTTTAAATATTTCACTAATATGAATAATTTGATGTTTTGTTTTCTTTTAAATATTATGAGTATTTCTTTTCAATATTTCAATAATTTGAATATTTGATCTTTTGTTTGTCATTTCTTTATATTTATTTTAACTTTATCCTACGCATATATCCTAGCTAGCATAATAATTTGAATGTACACGCCCAATAATTTTTTTATTTTTATTAATATATAAAAAAGTACTAATTAAGTTCTATTTTTATCATACTAACATGTTTTGAAGTTTTATTTTTATCTCTCTCTCTCTCTCTTTTTTAATAGATACATGAAAGTTCTATTGGAAACTTTATTTTTAATATGACATCTTAAATGATACAAATAAATATTATTTTTTTCTTTTTGTGGCCAAATATTAAACCCAATTTTTTATAAAAAAAAATGCATGAAGCTTATCCAAATACTTAAGTAAGATATTATTGTTAAAAAAAATGGTTCCTTAAATATTATAAATGATAAACAAAATCTGTAGAATATTGCAACGTTGCAGAATATAGTTCCTTCAGTAATTTTTTTTATTCCATTAGTGAAAAGATTGCATAATAACTGATCAGTCAGATGCTTTGTTTTTGGTTTGGACTTAAAATTTTTTACCAGTCACTGATTTAACAATATGTATCTTATCGTTTATTCCTACACTCGATGCATGCGTTCCCAATAAATTAATATCCAAAGAAAACAATAAAATTACATAAATGCCATTTTCATCCACAGTAATTTATGAGTAAATTAACAGTGCAAATCCTTATTCATTCACTGTTCATTTTCCTCGTATCTTTTAGTTTTTTATTAGTCGAATACTGCGTTACGTTACAAGCGAGATAATTATTATGTTCATAAGGTCAACGATTCGTATGGTGTAATACCAATAAACAGTTTTATTTTTTGTAATTAATATAAATCAAATCTATATATAGTTAATTTCTAATATATATATATATATATATATATATATATAGATTGAAAGTATATAGAATAAATAAAAAAATATACAAAAAAAAAACCTACCTAAATTGTAGAAATATATTGAAGTCAATAGATTAAAATAAAAACTACAAAAAAAATTGGTTTTGATAAATTCTGAATAAATATATATAAAAAAAGTAAATAAAACTTGTGAATTTTTTAACCCATTATTATTTTTTCAAAAAAAATTAAGTCAAGCTATCTAAAACATATTTTTAGCTCTCTCTCTCTCTCTCTCTCTCTCTCATTTAAAAAATATAAAAATAATTTATTTTATAAATTATAATAATATATTTTAAAAAATAAAACATTAATGTTTTAAAATTTTATTCCAAAATTCATATATTAAAAAACCAAATTTATTAATAAATAAAATTATATCAAAACAAATTTATTAACAAATAAAATTATATAAAAAAATTATCGAGTCATTACAAATTTATAATAAAATCAAAAATTAAAAATGTTTCAAAGTGGTCATTGTAACCTAAAGATATGTTTATTAATTATAAGCCTTATATATATGAATAAAAAAAGAAAAAAAAAAAGAAGAAGGCCGATTTAGGCGACCAAGGCTTGGATATATGAAGAAGAAGAAGGAAAAAAAATAGAAGAAGGCCGAGTACAACGCGACAAGGCCTAACACATATATAGACATGGTAACGATTCGGTTCGAATCGTAAAGCTGAACCGAAATCAAATCGTTAAAAAACTGAATCGAAATTGCTAAAATCGTAACCTTGATCAAACCGGACCGTAATCGGCTACCTATAGATTGGTTATAGTTTAAGGTATCATGAAATCGAAATCGACGATTCTAAACCGACGGTTTCACATTTTTCCTTATAAATTTGGATTGGGTCGAAAAAAAAACAAAAAAATTTAAATAAAAAAACCAATTTTATATGGGATGGACGAGTAGCTATTGGATTGAAAAATGAAAAAAAAATTAAGCCTAATAATTTTTAATTTTTGGACTTAATATATATATGTAAATTGAGTATGTGACAAACGGTCACATTTTTATGATCGTTTGTAACAACTCAACGGTCACGAAAACGTGATCGTTTATAAAACGGTCACAAACATTTGTGACCGTTTTCTATTTTTT